AACTTTAAAAATGTTATACTTTAGTGTAGTTCGGTCAGTTTTGGAGTATTGGTTCTCTCATTTGGTCTCCTTCATATAACAGTGACATCTACAGTATCGAGAGAGTTTCAAAATAAATTCTTGAGGGCATGTGCTTACAAAATTGGTTTTATTAGACAGCAATACACATATGATGATATACTGTCAATACTAAATATCTCATCACTACATGATAGACGATGTCAAGCGATTTATTTTCCTTTTTAAAATTATAAATTAATATGTTCAAGATCCAGAGTTACTAAGTTTAATAAGTTTTAATGTTAATACTAGAAGAACTCGTAACACTGAGATTTTCATCATTCCATTCCACAGTACGAATTAATGGCCAAAATGAACCCATTACAAGAATTTTAAACGAACTGCTAATGAGCACAGCAATAATTTAGAGTTATTTGGAATATCTACAGCAGCACATTAAGAAATCATTTGAGCGATTTTGAGCATTATTTAATACCTTAAGCGACCATTTGATTGAATTTTTGTTTGATTTTAATTTTGGTTTGTTTTTTATTAACGCAACCTATGTATACCTAAGCTTTGTAAAGGTTGACGTCATATTTATGTAAAAATGGTATATCCGTTAATTAAATAAATAAAAAATAAATGTTTTCATCACTTTTTCCATTCATGATTTGATATTTCCAGCTTCTCCATTGCTTTGAACATTTCTCTTCTATTCACAGAGTCGTAGGCTGCTTTGTAGTACATAAAATATGTGATGAGTATAATGCCCTATTCCAGTGTTTTTCCTAAAATTTGCTTCAGGTTGCAAAGTTGTATTTTCCTACTATCCGTTCTGCATATGGTGCCATACGATGACATAGTACTGTGGAAAATATTTCTACGCTGCATTTAGAAGCGTAATTCCTCTGTGGTTAGAGCATTCAAAGATATCTTCTTTTTGGTGTATGGTGCAAATTACTACAATCATTGGGGAAGGATTTCTGTGTCCATATTTCTTTTATAAGCTGCTGTAATGCCATTATGATATCGCGGCTACCTTCTATAATACAGATTGAACGAAATAAATTCGAAACATAGGAATATAATGTATTTCGGCTCAATTCTGCTGTAAGTGGTTGGCCAACAAAAGATTGTCAAATAATTACATTATAAAAGTCCCACACTTCAGCGGGCTGCTGGATTCTGAACTCATAAAAATTGAAAGCTACACATAAATCTACGATTTTATTATGCTGTCAAACCAGTTATAGTCCAGGAAATGAAGCATTTCACCTCGCAATTTTTTCGTGCTGCGTGGATTGACTTGCAATTTAACAGAAGGTAATAGCCTAAGGATCAAAATCTAATCGAACCAAAGTGCGCCAAAGCCTAGGGGGTGGTTGCCACCCCATCTCCGGGGTGAAATTTTTTTTTACGTTTTAACTACAGGTTTCGATTAAAAAAGTGATTCTAGACAAAAAATGTGCTATACATTTTTTTTATAAAATGATATTTTTCAAGTTATTCGCGATTGAAAGTAACAACTTTTAGACGAAAAAATCCACATTTTTAATCGATTTTTCGCGAATAACTCGAAAATGGTGCATTTTATCAAAAAAATTGTAGAGAACAAATTTGTAGCTTTTAAAAAGACAAATACAATTCATTTTTTAAAATATTTTGCGATATAATAGGAATCAAATACGGCCTATCAATGTTCAGCGGTTTTCTTCAAATGCCAAATTTGAAAGATTCAAAGTCAAATATCGGAAAATGATGCATTTTTGGAAGAAAACTCACAAAACCTTTTTTAAAGAGCGTAAATAGACCTATCATAAAAAAAGACTCTAGCTCAAAAATTGAGTGAGTTATGATGAAAATAAGGTCAATACCTCATTTTTACGAAAAAAATCGATGAAAACAACCCCCTAACCACCCCCATAATTAAAATCGATCTTCACCCTTCTGCAATTCCCTTTGTACATATATTGTTAATACGTCCAAGAAGTTTGACCCATTTAAAATGCTAGTTTTAGAAAAAGTACAGCTTAAAGCGAGAAACGATTTACAATTTCATATTTTTTACCCTTCTTTTTATAAATATGCCCGAAAACACTGAATATATGAAAAAAATAAAAATTACCAAATTTTTCGAGCCCTTTAAACTCACCCCATTTAAAAACCAAGGGTTCCAAAAAGATTTAATTCACAGATCCTTGTAGCTCTTAAAAACCTCTACAAATCGTTTTTGAAGAAACACTCTATCGTTAAAAATTAAAGGAAATACGTAAAAAAAACCAGTTAATTTTTTTCCGGAAAATTCCATTAGTATAGTACAGTACATTTCGGAGCATAATAATCTACAAAACCGGTATATTAGCTAGTATGGCGTTATACATTCGAAATTTTAAGCGTTCTTATTTTGAAATCTCATACAACAGAATAAAACATCTGCTCATATGTCTAGGGCTTGGCAATGAAAATATCAGAGCAACAGATTGGGGATGGTATTCCAAAGATGGTTTGTTATTACCCGTACGCATGAACAAACAACCTGCACCCGATGAACTTTTGAAAATTATTTTTTGCCAATGCAAAAAAGGATACGGCGTTTCATGTGGGTGCAGAAAAGTTGGTTTATACTGTAACTCTACTTGTTCTGGGTGCTCAGGTGAAGGGTGCAATAACAGTCCACCAATAATTGAAGAAGATGAGGATGACATAGATCACGATGAAGATGTAATTGATGACGAATAAAATTAATATTATAATTGTTTTACCTATAAATGTAAATATTTTCAACTATTTATGTAAATGTATAAGTAATATATGGTGCATTTTTATGTTGATAATTTTTTTTGTATTTAATTCTACTTTTTTCAATTTATATCTTATAAATTAGTTTATAAAAACTGCAATGTTGTAAAGGGTGATTTTGAAAAGTTGCAAAATTTTGGCAAAAAATTGTTTTCACCTATAGCACTCATAACATTTGATTTTTAAGGGTTGAAAATGTATGAATTTGTATTTTAAAGTATAAAAAAATCACTATTTAACTAATCCAAACCAAATTTCACTCATCTTAAGATTTGTAATATTATTTTACAATTTTTGAAAATTAGGGTAGTTTTCACCCTAAGAACAATCAGGTTCATCGGCATGACATAAACTATAAAGCAGAGGGTGAGTTGAGCTTAATTCCAAATTTTTATGCAAATCATTCCAAGGTGAAATCATTTTCTTCGCATTACTAATTTTTTTATATTAATCTCTAATAAGGGTCGCTTTTTAAGGGTTGAAATATGATGGAACTTTATTCAAAAGCACGAAACTATCATTATTTAATTAATTCAAACCAAATTTTACCCATATTCAGTTTAATATGTTATTTTATAATTTTTGACAATTAGGGTAGTTTCACCCCTAAGAACAATCAGGGTTCGTCGACATGACATAAACTATAAAGCAGCGGGTAAATTGAGCTTAAATCCAAATTTTTATCCAAATCGATCCAAGGCGAAATCATTTTTTTAGAATTAGTAATTTTTTTACATTAATCTTTAACAAGGGTTGCTTTTTAAGGGTTGAAATATGATGGAACTCTATTCAAAAGTATAAAATAATCATTATTTAACTAATTCAAACCAAATCTTACCCATATTCAGGTTTAATATGTTATTTTATAATTTTTGACAATTAGGGGTAGTTTTCACCCCTAAAACCCTTCAGCGCACTTCGATTCGATATAGATTTTGATCCTTGGGCTATCACCTACCTTCTGCTAAAATTTCAACTGGATACATGCAGGACGAAAAAATTGCGAGGTTTTAACTTTTTTCGAGCTTCATTTCCTGAACTATCTTCCTTAGACAAACCCGTCTTACGCAAACAACTTTGTTGCGAGACAGATAGTTGAACGATATTTTATACAATGTCTATACCCAGGTATGAATTTATTTTTGTCCAAGTTTTATATTGGTCCACTATTTCAAATGCAGTTCAAACAGACATGTATTAAATTGTATGTTCCGTTTTAATTTGGTTCAATCTGTATAGTTCAACTGGTAGATTATCTATTCCAGATGACTTTTTTGTGGCTAGTTATATATCTATAGATAGTGTTATATCTTATTACTCGTCTGTTCCCCTTACCTCATCCCTTCCGCCTTCCAGGTTTTTTTCTCTATATTAAGTGCCTGTTAAAGTATTCCACCCATCTATTTAATTCATCTTTCCTTGTTGTTAATAGATCGCCATTCTGACTTCTGCATTATCTTGTGGTTGCCCTGAGTTATTTTCTGTTGATGTTAATTTTCTTATAGAATGATCTGAATTCTTTCTTTCTGTCAAGGTTTTCTGTATAATTAAGTTCCGTATTTAGGTGGTTCGTTTTTTCTTTTGTGTATCCTCTTTTCTCTTCTCTTGTCTGATAATTCTCTACAGTTATTCTAGTTCGTCGGTTAAGTATCTATCTCCAGGCTTAATTTTTTTCTTTTGTTGCATTCTTGCATTCATCGTCAAACCAACGATTTTTACGGGTACAAATTTCTGTTCCTATTTCCTCTTTCGCTGCTGCTTCAATGCCTTCCTTTATTCTGGTCCAGTAGGAGTCTATATCTGTCTGCGGGCCACATACGCAGGTTGGCCACCCTTGGATTACATAGTCTATCAGGCAAACACATCGACAGTTGTTAAGATACAAAAATAGCGACTAATCCACCTTGTTAAATGTGATACTATCAGTTCTAGGTTATTAAAATATCTTTGATATCTAAAAGAATGTAGCAGTTCATAAATAAAAATAAATAACAACAATCGAATAGTTTACAATATGTAAATTATTTTTTTATTAGACTCAAACCTAGTACTTTATAATTATTACCAATTCAGTATATAATAATGACCAATAATAATGCCAATAATGTTAAGAGCCAATTTAAGGGCATACCTAGAGAATTGATAAGCAGATGATCAGGCATATAAAAACAATGAATTCTAAGCATTGCACAAGCAGTCGAAGGTTTGGGAATCGCAACAATGAATACAAGCGCTAAATTTCTGTTATTGTTTTTGATACTTCACACGGTGAAGACCGATGACTATTGTTCGTTCAAATGCAAGAAAGGCATACACACAGTGTGTGCCCGCAAGGATGTGGTAAGTACTAGTCTTTGTTTATTTGTTTAATTATTTTTATTTATAAAAATAACTGTCGACGTTATTTGCATTTCAATTTTTATTTACTCTTACTTTAATACATTATTTAGTTACTTTTATTATACAGTGTGTCTTAAGTAATAGGCATGGCAATATTTTTTATTGTGGGTTCCAATGCTGAAAATCGCGTCCCACATACACTCTTACTTACTTACTTAGTCCTAAGCCTTTCTACCTACGACTTTAGGTGTAAGGCTGGTGGAGTTAGGTTTTGCACTGTTGTCTCCATGCTTTCCTGTCTTGTGTTAGAATTCTTCTCAACTTATTTTCTGATTTCGTCTACCCACCTAACTCTTGGTCTTCCTAGTTTGTTTTTCCTTGCACTCTCGTTTTAAACACTTGTTTTGTTAATCTTGTATTCGACATTCTACACACGTGCCCGAACCATCTTAGTTTCCCCTCTACTATTTTTTCGTTTATTGGTTCTAGTTTTAGGTTTCGTCTGATTGTTGCGATTTTTATTTTGTCCGTCCTCTTTCTGTTTGCTATTTTCCTCAGGAACCTCATTTCCATAGCATTGACTCGAGATTTTTGTCTCCCAGTCAATGTCCATAATTCGCTATTATACATGATTGTAGGCTGTTTCCCCACAAAAATGTTGTTTTTATAGTGTTAAATAAGCTAATAATTTATTTCCATGTCTTGTTTACCGTTCAATTATTACTCCCAGGTATTTAAAATGTTCCACTTGTTCTAGTTGTTTTCTCTTATTTAAAATTATCATTGTTTTTGTTTTCTCTGTACTTATCTTCATATTTATGTTTGACAGTTCTTCTTCTAGGATTTTAAGGTTGTTCTATAGGTCTTCTCTGTTTTCTGCTATCAAAACCATGTCGTCTGCAAATAGACGCTCTGATAGTTGAGTCTGTTTCATTTGCCAGTATCCTAATGTTATTTTTTTCATTCTTCTGTTTTGACGCCTTGACTTGTAGTAAATTCTATGGATTCCTCGTTATTGGTTCTCACCGTATTTGTATTATTATTATACATATCCTTTATTACATCAATTGTTATCCTGTCAACTCCTCTTTCCTTTAATGTCCTCCATACGTCCTTTCTTTGGATTCCGTCAAACGCCTTTTCCAGATCAATAAAGCCTATATGTATTTCTCTATTTTTATTGATTACTTTCTCACTTATTTGTCTTATTGTGAGTCACATTGTGTATCTTCCATAGTTGGTTTTATTTGAGTTTTTAATCTTGTTTCTATTATTCTTGTGAATACCTTCCCAGGAATACTTGATATAGTAATACCTCAGTAATTATTACAGTTTCTCTTGTCGCCCTTTTTGTGTATTGGTAGTATAATATCTTTCTTCCAGTCTTGTGGTATTTCTGCTCTCTTTATGATATAATTCATTAATTCTTTCATGCTGTCCACGTCCACTCCCTATATTCCCATAAATTTTATCATTTTCGGGGTGATATGATCCTTGCCTGGTGCTTTACCTAATTTAACTCTTTCAATTGCCTTTTCTAGTTCCTCTGTTGTTATGGGTTCTACTTTTTGTTCTTCATTTATTTCTTGTATCTCCACTATGTTGTCTACGTTTGTATGAGTTAGCTCTTTGAAATGTTCTTTTCCATTCTTTGGTTTTCTTACGTTATTACCTTTTCATTCTTGTCTTTTATATTCGGCATCATGTGTTCTTTATTTTGTCTGAGCTGTTTTAATGAACCATATAAGAGTTTTTGATTTTACCTATAATTATTTGTCATTTTTAGTCCAAACTTTTCCCATGACCTATTTTTTTCTGCTTTCACAGCTATTTTAACCTCTTTACTTTTTTCTTTATATGCCTCATAATCTTCAGGCGCTTTGTACTTATATATCTCTTCCATTTTTCTTTTTTGTTCTTTATACACACACACTCATGGACAAAAATATCGAATATTTTGGAATTTTCTTTTTCTTTTTTGAAAATAAATTCTGGTCAATCAAGTCGCTTATCATGAAAAATAGTTTATTTTAATAATGTTTAATAAACAATTTTAAGTTTTTATGCAAAGAAAATTACAAAAAAAAGAATGCTTAATGCTAGGTAAATAAGGTTCTTTTACTCTAAACTTAAATGCTAACTTAAATTGCTTAAGTAAGTTTTTTTAATTGAAACAAGTCTGTTCAGTAACGAGTATTCCCCACTATACCTCTTATTACTGCTTGTATCCTTCTCGGCATATTTACAAGTAAATTTTAGACATACCCTTGGGAAATTGCATTCCATTCATCCTGTGCAGCAAGACGAAGCTGCTTTATCGTATTTGGAACGGGATTTCTTTGTCCTATGCCGCGTTTTAGCTGATACCACATGTGCTCCATTGGATTTAAATCCAGTATTATTGGTGGACAGTCCAATTTCGAATTTGAACCTCATCAATATAATTACTCATTATGGTAGCGGCATATGGTCGAATATTATTGTGCCTTAACATAAATTTGTCATATCCAACGTAACCAACATATGGCAAAACATGATCTTGCAGAATATTTTAAACATAAGCGTCATCAGTCATCCATCCAATCACTTCCCAAGTGCAGTGCGCCCCTTCCAACTAATACCTTCTTAAAGCATTATGCCACTACATCCAAAACTAACGATCTGGGCAAGATTGCAGGTGGCGAATCGTTTTCCAACTCTTCTGTAGACGTCGTTTCGACCATCCGGCTTATATAATGGGATTCTGGTCTCATCAGTAAAAGCAACATTTTTTCAGTTGTCGATATTCCAATCAATATGATTTTGGAAAACGATGAGCTTTATGATTTTGGAAAAGACGTGTAACTTTTGCAGGGCGTCTAGGCTTTTTAAGGTTGCTTTGTTAAACCTTCGTCTAACTGTTCTGAACTCACATTAATTTGTCTGACATTTAGTAGCTCATTTCTGAGGTGCGTCGATGTCAATGAGCTATTTCTTGTATAAATAAGAACCAAAAAATGGTCATCAATTGCGGTTGTGCACCTTGGTTGTCGGTGACCTGGTCTTCGTACAAAATTGCCTGTCTCATGGTAGCTTTTTAAAATATTCGAAACTGTAGACTGACTTCTCCTGAGACGCCGTGCGATATTATTTTGTGTGTATCCTTCCTCGTACAAAGTTATAATCTGTGCTGCTTGGGCTTCATCGCAGTGTGGAATTGGTGGCATATTTGTTTTAAACTTACTTGAATCAAAACAATATTTAATTAAACTTAATAAATTAAACTAAAAAATAATCGAATTATTCTGGTTTTTCCTTTACGTGAAGAAGGCTTTTTATGATAAAATTTACGAATGACACTAAACACTGAATAAACGTCAAAATATTTCAAACCAATTAAATACATCAGCCTACTTTATAAGTAAAATGAGTAATCTAAAATTATTTTGAAGTAATAGTGACTACAAAAAAAATTGAAAAATTCCAAAATATTCGATATTTTTGTCCATGAGTTTGAAGTTAACGAGTATTTTTTTTGTGGAAAAATTATACCACAGAACATACTAACTAAAAAACCTTCTTCTTCTTCTTCAAGTGCATCTCCGCGGCGGAGGTCGGCAATCATCATAGCTATTCGAATTTTGAGAGATGGCAGCTCTAAAAAGTTCATTTGATTTACATCCGTACCACTCTCTCAGGTTGCGCAGCTATGACATTCTACGCCTCTCTATGCTTCTCTTTCCTTGTATCTGTCCCTGCATAATCAATTGGATCAGGGTGTATTTCTCTCCACGTGTAATATGTCCGAGATATTCTAACTGTCTGTTTTTACTGTATTTAAAATTTCCATTTCTTTATTCATTCTACAGAGAACTTCTTTGTTTGTGACATTTTTTGTCCACGATACCTTCAATATTCTTCTATACACACACAGCTCGAATGATTCCAGTTTTTTCATTGATTTCGCATTCAAGGTCCAAGATTCCATTCCATAAAAACCTAACTCTTAGTTCCAGTTTTAAATCCCTTGTACATAGCACTCTTCTCATTTGTTGAAATTTGCTCTAACCTTGTCTATTCTTATTTTGATCTCCTGGCGAGAAACTAAAAAACCATCAGGCTTTAATTTGAATTTAACCAGACTGACAAGCTTGGACCTGTAAAATGAGAATCCGTCTGGCTTAAGGCAACATTTATTTATTTATCGTATGGCCATACAATAAGAACACACAATTAAAAAAATCAATATAAAACGTTACATGAAGTAACAACGAACATCTATGTATTATTAATATAATGTAAAACATTTTCGGTCGCATTCAGGAACTCATCGAAAACTCCAGGGAATCGCCTTCGGGGACATTCTTCAACAATGTGACGGACGGTCTGTCGTTGCGCACCACAGTCACACTCAGGAGTAAGGGCTTTTCCCCATCTATATAAGCTGTCAGCACATCTACCGCTGCTTGTTCTTATTCTGTTTAGCGTTGTCCATGTATTGTGGGTCAGTTCAAAGCCTGGCGGTTTCTGATCGATACAGGCCATTTGATGTGCTTCCTGTGGTGAGTCGCTCTCCCATTGTGTTCTCCAAGCTTTGGTCAGGTTGAAATGTTCCTGATGTAAGGAGTTGGCTCTTAGCAATGGAGGATATCTGGAGCGCAGTCTGTTTATTTTGATATCAAGCTTATCTTGGTGGATGGGTAGTTGATGGTTAGCCTCAATTTTTCGATTTTCTCTGAGAAGAGAATGACTTCTTCGCAGTTTCGGCGGTGGAATGTGACTCAGAATGGGAAGCCAATAGTTCGGTGTGGGTCTAATTGTACCTGAGATCATTCGCATTGTCTGGTTTAATTGAGTGTCAATAATCTTTGTGTGTTTGCTATTGAGCCATACCGGGGAAGCATACTCAGCCGCCGAGTATACAAGTCCGAGAGCGGATGATCTGAGTACGGAGGCTGAGGACCCCCATGTAGTGCCACATAGCTTTTGGACTATATTATTTCTCGTTTTCAGCTTTGCTGTCGTTCTTTGAAGATGTTCTTTAAAACCCAATGTTCTGTCCAGAGTCACTCCAAGATATTTTGGTGTTGAGTTATGAGTGAGCAGTCTAGTTTTCGAAGTAGACGGAGAGCGTGCATTATACAGATGGAAACAGCACACTTCGGTTTTCGTTGCATTAGGCCGTAGCCTCATTTGCGAAGTATTCTCCCTGCATTCTCCCTTGCAAATAATGCAAGGTCATCCGCTAATATTGATTTCTGTGATATCCATGTTATTATGTCTTATGTCATTTCCTAGCATATTTGCCACAGTGAAGTAAAAAATCTGGATGAATTTTATCGGAGCCGGGTGCCTTTTCAGACTTAATTTCTGATATGGCTGAAATAATTTCTTCTGGAGTAAACTCGTCAGAATATTCAGAAGTAGGCGGGCATGCAGACTTTAGTACTTTAAGTTCTTGTTTGACTTTGGTGGTGTGATTCACGATCTCTAGGTGCTCTTGAGGTTGCTACAATGTGGGAGGCCACTCTGTTTGCAGCTATTGGTACTTTTTCTCTAGTTGGGAGGCTACTACTACCAAGTTTTCTAAGTAAAGACCATGCTTTTCTGCTTGATTTACTAAAGTCTAATTTTTCCACAGTTTCCATCCATTTTTGTCGTCTGGCTGCATTCAAACTGTGCAGTAATTCGTCCGCAATTTCTTGATCTTGGCTTTCGTTGTATTCCTGATACAATTTCTCGCATTTTTCATCCCATCCTGGGACATACTCTTTACGATATCCTCTGGGTATAGTTTTCTTCGCTGTAGAGATAACCGCGCCAACAAATCTCATGTAGTTTGAACGTGTTGGGGGTATCGATCCCAGACATTTGTCCAATCTTTCAGTAAAAGTCGCCCAGTCTGGGCGACAAATTATATTTAATAGCCTCTTGACGAATGAGAGGGCGAATATCAACACGCGCGTTTGTTTACAGTTGGGAATTTTCTGAACGAATGTACTTTAGAGGTGTTTAGTTATTGTTTAATTTATCATTTTTACCATTATATCTAACTAGATGCAACAACTACCACACTGGCTTTAACAATTTTTGAATATTTAACCTTTTGAATGTAATAAAATATGTTTGTTATTAGACATTAGAAATTTATTTATCTTTGTTTCATATTTAATCAATTTATGCAGAAAATAGTCTTTGTGATTGCATTTCTGGGTCCTTGACAGCTGTAATATCCGCTCATTATAAAATCATTAGCATCACCCGGTAGATAACAACGTTGTCGAGTATTTTAGAATAACAAATACAAAATTAATGATTGAATAATAATGTAAAAGGGAGATAACACACGAAAGAATTACTATAACACAAGTTTTAATGTTTAGCGTAATAGTTTTTATGAATCATATAGTTGGTTTATTATGAACTTTAGACGTAATAGTGCAGTGTTTTAGTATCTGTTTTAATAGTTTAAAATGAAGCGAAGTATAATATTTATATAATGTTCGTAAACACGGTAAAATTTATTAATTTTGTCTATTAATAACTCTTTTAGATGTTGAATTTGGTTATATTTTGGTTATAGTTCATTCTACTCTTCAGTTATTTTATATTTTCTGCACTGTTTCCATTTATTAGACTGTTTTCCGCTTAATTCTTACTGATTCGACAACTGGCTGTATCTGTTTTTGCCATTTTTCTTAGTCTTGTTCCTCTTACTGAAATTTGAAGTTGAGTGTACAATTCATACAAATGTTTTTTGTGACCAAATATTATTAAAAATTTGGAGTAGAGACTCTTTTGCTTCTATGGGAAGGTTTTTAATAAATGTATTGGTATGTCGACTGGACCTTTAGATTAGATTAGATTAAGAGAGGTGGCCTTTCGGCCTATTCCACTGCGATCTTTTCAGATCTATTGTGGCCCTCTAGTCATAGATAATATTCTCTAGCCTGACCCATTTTTTAAAGTCTAGTAGCTTCGAGACTGTACCTTCCATGTAGCTATTTGCCGGTGGATTTTAGAGATCATAGAGTCATTTTGGGGTTAAGTCCCCAATTCTTACCGCACATTCTTCTACATCTGCCCAGGGACATAGTAGCTTTCTGTGTGGTTTTTAGAATGTGAGTATTCCATGTAAGCCCATGATTAAAATATACCCCAAGGTATTTTGTTTCTTTGGCAAATAAAATCTCTGTTCTTCCCAGCACCGGTGGTTTGAGGCCTTGTAAACCACATTCATTTTACATATTCCCAATTATCAACATACGCACGTGAAAGCCAAACAGGGTCGTACTGATGTGTATCGTATGATTCTTAAAAATATTTACTTTTGAAACTATTAGTGTAAGAATTTCTTGATATTTAATCATTAAATCACAATTAAACTAAACTCTAAAAAATAACACGACCAGTAAATAACTTAACAATAACTCTAACAAATATAACACACAATATATTAACTTAAAAACCAACACGATACAATTTAAATTTAAACAAAATCGCAAGTTTGGATCTGTAACATGAGAATCTGTCTGGCTTAAGGTAATAAATTATATTTAATAGCCTCTTGACGAATGAAAAGGCGAACATCAACACGTGCTTTTAGTGATAGTTGGGAATTTGCTGAATGAATAAACTTTAGTGCTGTTTTCTTGGTGAAGTTGACAATTTCTGTTTTCTGAGCATTGACTATCAGTCTCTCTTGTTTACACCAGTCGTCAACTATATTTAGGGCTGCTTGCATTCTCACAGACACCACCTGAGCAAACCTGCCCTTGACGACGATTGCTATATCGTCAGCATATCCTAGACCATAGAAGCCTTCTGTGGACAAATTTCTGAGGGGATCATCTACCAAGGTTACCCAAAATAGAGGGGACAGAACTCCTCCTTGTGGGGATGCCCTTATCCATCTGCATATTACCGCAGGTGCGCCTCATCACTCATAGCTCCTATCAAAGAGCCGGTGGTAACATCATTAAATGACCCTTGTATATCTAAAAAAGCTCCGTCTGGACCTAGTAAAGTATCTTTCATGACATTAAGTGCTCTTTGAAACTCCCCATAACTAAGAGGTGTATTGATAGGGTTAAATTTGTCGGAAATTGTAATAGGTACTGCCTCCTCCTGTTGTTTGTAAGTTACGAAGTGTTACTGTAATTTTAGCAGGATGAGAGTTTTTGATAGGTATCAGCTAGTTCATTTACTATATCCTGTGGATCAGTTAGTAACGTCCCTTGTTTTTTCAGACTTGCGACCTGCTGGTTGGTAAGTATGCTGTCCTGTTATTTTTTAAACTTTTTCCAAAACGTATTTGTGTTGCTGTTAATGCTAGATATGTATTTCTACCAGGATTCTTGTTTGCTTTTTTTTATAATTTTCCTTGCTTCAGCTCTACATTTTTTGTACTCTGTTAATAGATCAATCTTTTTGTACTTTTTGTATCGGTTCCAAATTGTTTTACTTAATTGAATAGCGGCCTCACATTGTGTCTTCCAACAGGGAACTGGTTTGTGTTTTTTTTAGTGAGATTTCTATGGCTGTATTAGCAGCATCCAGTACAAGCTGATTAAAGCTCGTGAATGTGTGAAACACTTTTAATTTAAAAATTGTGTTTTTTTATAGTAGGCTAACCAGTTTTAAATATATTCCTTCTAGGACTGATATATTTGTTTTTTATTAAATGCTTATAGAACTGTGGACCAGGTCCGAAGTGTAAAAACTTCAAAGTAATGCAATTGGATGATGAAGATAGACAACTAGTTTTGGACGTTCACAACAAATTAAGAAACAGAGTTGCTACTGGACAGGAAACGATAGGGCCTCAACCTTCAGCAACGAATATGCAAGCAATGGTAAGTAATTCTTTTTTTTGCAATGAATAACTTTTTTTCATGATTAACAATGATTTCAGCTGTATCAACATCTTAATTAGGTACTTACGGTGTTCATTGTGGACTCTTCATAAAAAATTTGACCTTAGCCAAATCTATTCTTTCTAGATTATTTTTTTCTATTATTCTTATTCTAGTTTGTATAGGTGACTAAGAAGACTTATCTTCTTCTTCTTGATGTGCCTATCCGTTACGAATGTTGGCGATCATCATGGCAATCTTTATCTTGTCTGCAGCAGCGCGTAAAAGCTGCACATATGTTGTATTGAACCAGATTCTGAGGTTCTTTAACCAATATGTTCTTCTTCTTACTGGACCTCGATTTCCAAATATTTTTCCTTGCAGGATGGCTTAAGAAGAGCATATCTGATTCTTATTCATTCTTCTGAGGACCTCCTCATTTGTGACTTATGTTTGTCAGTGCACGGGATCTTAAGTATTCTTCGATGTAGCAACATCTCAAACGCTTCTAGTTTTTTAGTATAGATCTTCGTTCAAGGTCCACGATTCAACACCATAAAAAAGGCAGAGAAGACGTAGCATCGCAGCATTCTTACTTTTGTATCAAGAGAGAGGTTGTGGCCCTTGAAGAAAGCCCCCATCCGATTGAAGGTGGATCTAGCTTTTCCGATGCGTGCTCTAATCTCCTGGTTGTTGGTCCATTCTTCATTTATTATTGTGCCGAGCTAGTTGTAGTGCGTCACTCTTTATACAGGAGATTGGTTGACGTAGAGTTAACCTTCTGTTATCCTTTTCTTGCTAATTATCATAAGCTTTGTCTTCTTAACGTTTATATTGAGTTTATATTGTTGACTGTAATACGTGATTTTGTTCGTAAGAACTTGTAGGTCTAAAAAGTTGTCCGTAAATACTATGGTGTCATCTGCATATCTGATGTTGTTTAGCCGGTATCCATTTAGTAGAATATATTTTTCAGTTTCGTGCAAAGCTTCGATAAATATTCTTTCAGAGCACAGATTGAAGATTAGATAAGACAAAATACAGCCTTGCCTCACTCCATGCATGATTTTCACACAGTCAGTGTGTTCACCTTCAACTCTGAGATTTGCTGTCTGATTCCAGTAAAGATTTCTAATTATTTTCAGATCTTAGTTGTTAATTCCTTCTTCTTTTAATATTTGCATCATCTTGGCGTGCTGTACTCGATTAAACGCTTTCTCCTAATCAACCAGACATGTGTATACGTCGCAGTTAACATCCCCGCATCTCTGGAATAAGACTTGTACTGAGAACAAAGTTTTTCTAGTACCAACAGCATTTATGAACCCGAACTGGTTGGGGGAAATTTGACTTTCACAGAGCTTGTAGATTCTCTTATGAATTATCTTCAGGAACAATTTTAGGAGATAACTCATGAGGCTTATAGTACGGTAATCTTCGCATTTTTTGACTGCTGGTTTTTTTTGGAAGTACAATAAACTCAGATTTCAGCCATTCTGTTGGTATTTCTCCAAAGTTGTATATGTTGTTGAATATCTTTGCGATTATTGCTATTGATTCGTTGTCCGTTAGTTTTAGTAGTTCTGCTTTTATATTATCAGGGCTATCTGCTTTTATATTATCAGACCTACTCAAAAATGTTACTGATCATGGAATACGGATACCAAGATCCGGCAGGAGAGGGCAATCGCAAGACTATGGGGCCTCTCCGGTCGTCAACATGCAAAATCCCTGTAAAAACATGAACAAGTCGAACAAAACTAGGACTAGGTATTAGAGTTGGGACATGGAATGTTAGAAGTCTGTTTATGGCTGGAAAACTAGACAATGCCATCTTAGAAATGGAACGTTTGAATGTAAATGTATTAGGAATTAGCGATGTGAGATGGCAAGGAACAGGTAAATGTATAACAAACAACGGAATGCTATACTACTCAGGAAACGATGACCCATCACATTTGTATGGCGTAGGAATTCTCGTTGATTACAAAATTAATAGAACAGTAATAAGCTTTACTCCAATATCAGACAGAGTCGCGATTTTGAAACTTAATTCAAAGACTGTTCCAATAAACATAGTACAGGTGTATGCTCCAACAGCCGACAAAGATGAGGAGGAAATTGAAATATTCTATATTCAACTCAATGCCGCTCTAAAATTGACAAAAAAATGTGAGATAACAATTATCCTAGGGGATTTTAACGCCAAAATTGGTAAAGGAGCAGTGGCACCATGGATTGGTGAGTTTGGATTGGGCGTTAGAAATGAACGTGGAGATAGACTCTTAGAATTTTGCCAAAATGAAGATCTGGTTATAGTAAATACCTTATTTGATCTACCTAAACGTAGACTATACACGTGGAAATCACCAGCAGACCGAGAATCACACATCGTCAGAAACCAAATAGACTTTGTCTTGATCAGAAATAGGTTTAAAAATTCAATAAAATCAGCAAAAACTTATCCAGGTGCCGATATATACTCGGATCACGTCCCTATTATTGTCGAAATGGAAGCAAAATTAAAAAAGTTAAAAAACAAAAAGATTAGAAAAGAATTCGATGTGACAAGATTAAAAGATACTCAGATAGAACAAAGAGTTAGACAGAAAATCAATGATAATCTTAAACCCATCAAGTCAAAAAACACCAACTCTAAAGACGTAAATGAAAATTGGAGAGAGGTTCAACAAGCTTTAAAAGAAGCGGGAGAAGAAATACGTGGACCAATACCAAAGAAAAGACATATGTGGATGACAGACGAAATACTAACTCTCATGAATGAAAGAAGAAAATATAAAAACATAAACACTAGCAAATACAAATCCTTAAACAGCAGGATTAGAAAAGACATAATAACAGCAAAAGAAAGATGGCTAACTGAACAGTGTCACGAAATAGAAGAATATGAAAAGAAATATGATAGTTTCAATATTCATCGGAAAGTGAAGGAAATGACGTCGGGAAAACAAAATAATATACATGTTATAAAAGACTCGAATGGTAACATTCTCACAGATACAAAACAACAACTAAACAGATGGACAGAATACATAAAAGAACTATTCGGGGATGACAGACAACAAATCATAGATGAGGACTCTGGTGAATCGGGACCAAAAATTTTAAAACAGGAAGTTCAATACGCATTAAAACAGACAAAAGGGAAAAAGGCCACAGGTCCGGATGAAATCCCGATTGAGTTTCTTAAACTGATCGATGATGAAATGATAGACATTCTAGTAGAACTTTATGATCATATTTATCAAACAGGTATTTTACCAAAGGAGTGGTTAGTATCCACATTCGTAATTATTCCCAAAAAGCAAAATGCAAAAGAATGCTCAGAACACCGTACAATTGCATTAATGAGCCATGTTTTGAAAGTATTTCTACGAATAGTCCACAACAGAATTTACAGAAAGCTGGATGATGAAATTAGTGATAGTCAGTTAGGCTTTAGAAACGGCACGGGAACCAGGGAAGCATTGTTCGGTATAAATGTGCTCATGCAAAGAAATCTGGATATGAACCAAGACATGTATACATGTTTTATTGATTTTGAAAAAGCATTTGACAAGGTACAGCACAATAAACTAATTAATATTTTAAAAATGAAAAACATCGATAGCCGCGACATCAGAGTAATCTCGAACCTCTACTGGAACCAGAAAGTCAAAATAAGAATTGAAAATCAAATGTCGGAAGAAATAGAAATTCTTCGGGGTGTGAGACAGGGCTGTGTATTGTCACCACTGCTGTTTAATATATATAGCGAAGCCATTTTCCAAGAAGCTTTAGGAGAGTGTAACGATGGAATGATAATAAATGGTGAAATTATTAATAATATAAGATATGCCGATGATACTGTCATATTCACTTCAACTCTGCAAAGTCTAACAAACATACTGGAACGGCTGAATGAAAAGTGTACCATATATGGTATTAAAATGAACTTAAAGAAAACAAAATTCATGGTCATTACAAAACATCCAAAAGACAACGAGACACTCCATATTAATAATATCCAGATAGAAAGGGTAGATAAATACAAATATCTAGGAACATTGGTTAGTCAAAACGCAGAACAAACGCAAGAGATTAAAAGCCGTATAGAAATAGCAAGGGCAAAATTTGTAAAAATGAAACATCTATTGTGTAGTAGAGACCTAAGAATGGATCTAAGGATAAGGTTATTGCGCTGCTACATTTTTACAACTTTGCTCTACGGATCTGAGGCATGGACATTGAAACAACTGGAGATTAAGAAATTGGAAGCTTTTGAGCGTTGGTGTTATCGAAGGATGCTACGAATAGCATGGGTAGACAAAATTACCAATATTGAAGTCCTTGATAGGGTTAATAAGAGGGAAGAAATTGTACAGACAATTAAGAGGCGGAAACTTGAATATTTCGGTCATATATTAAGAGGTCCTCGTTATGGGCTACTACGTTTGATTATAGAGGGCAAAATAAAAGGTAAAAGAGATGTAGGAAGAAGACGAACCTCCTGGCTACGAAATCTAAGGGAATGGTTTAGTCTGAGCTCTAGCCAACTATTTAGAGCTGCTGTAAGTAAAATAAGAATTGCCATGTTGATATCCAACCTTCGTTAGAAGATGGAACCTTAAGAAGAAGATTATCAGGGCCTGTCGCTTTGCCATCCTTTAACTGTATTATTGCGAAATAAACTTCCTTCTGTTATATTCTTGGTCCATTATTTATCTCTTCTTTTAGCTTAAAGGTGTTATCTCTTTGGTCTCCAAATAGTTTTTCTATGTATTCTTTCCACGTTCTTATTTTAGTCTATTTGTTCCAAGATGGTGTTTCCCGTCAAAATCAGTTATATTTCCTTTCTGCTTTCGTGTTAGTACTCCTGTGAGTTTTTTAACTTTCTATGTACCGGGTGGTCCAATAAGCGATCTCTCGGCTATATATCAGAAAGTATTCATGTTATAACTTTAGGAGAAAAAATTCCTTAGTAAAAGTGGCCAAGAGGAATCGCTGGAAATAACTTTCAAGATTCTGGATTAACCGCTAGGGGGCGTAACCTGCGAAGAAAATTTTGAAAATTAGTTTTTGGGAAATATGTCTAATTCGACGATCGTTCGATTCGTCTCTAATTTCAGTCACTTGCTCGTTTACCATGGCTTGTACTCTCATCTCGTATCAAGGTCTTTCAGCATGCGTAGGTAGTATGATTGTGATTTTTTTTCTGCACTGTTTTGAGTTTGAATCGAAATACTCCACCAGTGAAGCGTAGTGTGTCTCCAAGTCTGCTCCAGGATAAGTCTAGACAGAAGATGTAAAGCTGTTTCGGAATCTTTTATTTACTAAACTATAGTCTATTTGATTCCTTATAATTCTCCCAGGTCTGTCTTGAGGGGATTTTCACGTTTCAAATGCGAGGTGGTAATGGGAAGAATGTGTTGGTGACAACTAGTTCTGAGTCTTCTGCGAATTTTTCTATGTCTCCTCTCTCGTTTCTGACTCCAAGTCCATGTGCTCCAATGTACTGCGTTTTATCTCCAGCTCCAATCTTGGCAATAAAATCGCCCATAATGATGAGAACTTTCTGTCAAGGAATTTCCTGTATAAGTACTGCTTTGTCTGCAGTGGGAGCATGGACTTGGATGATGTTTATATTAATAGGGTTGGTTTCTACTTGTAGTAACATCACTTTCTCTAATATTGGTGTTATTTGTCGGGTATATTAATTACTGTCCAAAAGCCACATGTTAAATCTATCTATCTGTATAGCCTTTTTAAATTTCTGCTCTGTTTCATTGTACCTTGAAACTTAGTATTCCATCTGAAGCTGATCTAGACTATTCCAAATGATCTGTGTATCTATCTGCCTCTCTTAAACTCGTTACGTCCAAGCAGTTACTACCCCTCCTGGCATCTACCACAACATGATCGATCTGATTTCTTGTGACGTAGTCGTTGGAGATCCACGTTTCTTTGTGTCTTTTCTTGTCTTAGAACATTTTTGATTTTATTAGTAGGATGTGATGATTGATATGCTATTGTTTTTGTTATCTTTTTTTATATTTTATAAAGCTATGTAATAATAATTTTAAAAAATTTTAGAGCTACAATAAGGAATTGGAATATATAGCACAGTGTCATACTAACGAATGTGTATATCATCATGACACATGCAGAAGTACATGTAAGTGACCATCAAATTTTCGTTTTAATAATATATTGAATTTCCTGAATTTTAGGACGTCACGCGTCATCTGGAAATATTTTTTTAGTCTAGGAAAAGTTTTCTGTTTCAAAATTCTAGGCAGATTTTATCTGAATCCAAAAATACGGTCAGAAGATTCGGTACATTCGTTTTCCTAATGAATTTTTACTATTTTCTAGTTGCTCGTTCAAAGAACAGTCTTCTTTTTGAGGCATATGTAATTATTAGTCTTACACTGGCTTTATAAATTCTTGACTTCATCTCAGTGTTAATGTGTCTATTTCGCCATATAGTGTTAGTAAGGTGTCCTGCCAGTCCATTTGTTTTTGTACTTTATCTTTCACTTTTTTGTAGAGGTCTCCATAGCTATACAGTCTAATTCCCAGATATTCTGTTTCCATTATTTGTTCAATACTGATGCCATTAATTTCTACTTTACATCTGGTTGGTTCTTTGCTGACTACCATTGTTTTAGTTTGCTGAGATGAGATTGTCATATTAAATTATTTTGCTCTTATAATAGACCTGTGGACCAGTTTTTGCAGACTATCTTTATTTTGGGCTGTCAATATTGCGTCGTCTACGTAACAGAGTATTTTTATTTCTTTGTTTTCCATTCTGTATCCTCTTCCTTTGTTAACGCTTTTGATGGTTTTATTCATGATTAAATTGAAGAGCATGGGGCTTAATGAATCCCCTTATCTTAGTGAAAATACAGTGTAGTATACATTAACTGTTTTTTTTGTCTATTATATATAGTTTATTAATTTTTTTTAGCTCAATGGTCATGGGTTGGCCAAAGTATCATGCTCCAACAATACAAAGGGATGAAAATTGATACAAAACGAATGATAAATTCGACAATATATGGTTGGTACAGCGAAGTTGCCAAATATGATCCATCGTGGGTTTCTAAATTTGACACACAGTAAGTGTTTATAAGTTTTTTCCGAAAAAAAATATTTTTGTGAAATGTAGAGATGAAATTCACTGAAAATTAAAACATAAAAACGTATGTTCAATTATAATTATAGTTAAAAAACTCGAACATCGCAGTAATAACTTCTGTTGGGTGTAGTATTAAATTAAAAAATCTAAATGAATTAAAAAGTTCAGAATGTTTTTGGACTAATCAGTCCATATTTAGTGAACCTACAAAGCAAATAACCCTGCTAAGTTAAATTTTGACTGTCGTTAAATGCTTAGATGTACTTTAGATTACTTACTTTGGAGCACATGCACAACGAATAGCAAAACCAAACAGTGATTGGGTTTTAATTAAACATAACACACTTAAAAATATTAAATTATACGGCAATATGCCGATGTAATTGGATTACTAACCGTGAAGCAAAAGTCTCTACTCAAAGTAAAACTTTTACATCCGAACTTTCGTACGGGAGTTTCGCAACATATAACTGTATAATTTAATACTCTTAAGTAAGTTTTCTTCAATGTAAACCCAAACACTGTTTGGATTTGAGGTTAGTTACGTAAGTACTATAACATTTCACTTAACTTAATGGACTGATTAGTCCGAAAATGTTCTGAACTTTGTTATAATCTATTTGGATTTTTTAATTAAATATATCAATTAAAACAGAAGTTTTTTACTTCGATGTTCGAGTTTTTGAACTAATATGATATACAGCCAACTCCCGAGAAATATGCCATTTTAAGCATAATTAGGGGAGGATGGGGCATTGTGAACCATCTAAGGAAGATATGCACATACTGTTAAACCAGAAATGATTTTGTTTTGTTTAATTAATTAGGGACGTTCATTAAACATTTAACTGTCATTTAGTTGCAATTGAAACATAATTTATTTAACGTATTTTCAACAAAAAAATGACAACTGACTATATGTCAAAAGTTCACATTGCCCCATAGGGTGGGGCAATGTGAATTACTGAGGAAAGTCACACTATTTCATTATCTAATGGCTATGTTTGGTAAATAAAATCAAGTAAAAAGAATTTTTTTATTAAAAATACTTAGAAAACCGGTAACAGAACATTAGTAAAAATAGACACATGTTATATTTATTCAGAAATACAAAATTCACACTGAAATTCTTCATCATCTTCTGGATCTATTCCCGCACATGCTTCATGAGCCCATTTCAGACAGGCCGAGCAACGTACCCATCCTTCTTCATTGGCTGATGAGGAGAACCACTCGTTACAGTAAAAACATTCAGCATCTTCACCATTGCCATCATCTTGTACTTGATGGTTACATTTATTTTTTTTCTTTCCCTTACCATCTTTGGAAGGACGAAACTTTTATTTTTTTGTTACTTCTTTCACTATCTTCGTGCTTATCATCATTTATTTTTTTCGTAGCTTTTTCCTTTTTCATTGTTTCTATTGCCTCCTTCGTGTTTATTTTAAGTTCTAATTCTAGCTTATACGGACTAGATGTCAGTACAGCCGTTTTACGTTTTTTAGATTTCCTCTTTGGTTCCATTAATTTACTTCTCTTTGGCAGAGGACGAATGTCTTTAGGGCTGTTTGCTCCAAATGAAGTTGTTGCTCTATTGTGTGCAGGGGAAATTGTCAATTGAAAATCGTTACCAGTATGAAGCTTTGCAACTGAGGTTAAAGCAATTACCTCATCTTGACTTAAGTGAGGCTCTGCAGTTGAAGTTGAAGGAATTGCCTCATCTTGACTTGACACTGGTAGACTATTATTCTCCAAATCTCTTTCAGTCGTAGCAGATGGTGCAAAATCGAGGTCTGTAAATATATTGGGATCATAAGGTACTATCCCACATTTTTTAAAAGCGTTAATAGCAGTCAAAGGTGTTGCAGCTTGTAAGAAAGCCTCACCAAAAATTTTAGAGATTTGGAAAGCTGTTACCACTCTGCCTGGGTTGTTATTAAGAAACTTTTCTAATGCCATATCATAATATCGTGCTAAAGGAGCCATGACACCAACATCGGTTGGCTGCATTCGATGGGTGGAATGTGGAGGCAAACAAATGATATGTACATGTTTTTCCCTAGCCAAATTAATTACTTCTATGTTTTTTGTATGGCTGCTGTGTCCATCCAAAATCAATAAGATCGGATCGTCTTCACTTGGTTTCGTTTGTTGAAGAAAATGTTGAAACCATATTAAAAAGAGTTCACTATTTATCCAGCCACTATCGCTACAGGCGAATATTGAACCTGGAGGTGCACCAGCTTGGAGTTCGACTTTCATTCTCTTTCTTGCAAAGATTAACATCGGCGGTATGAAGATTCCTGATGATGACATGCAAATAACGGCTGTTGTTATTCCACTTCTATCAGCAGAAGTAAGCCGTCCAACTTGTTTCCGTCCTTTATGCGCCAAGATTTTACTATTACATTTGGGGACTGTACCTAGACCTGTTTCGTCACAGTTAAAAACACGCGTTGGATTAACATGTTTAGAATCCAAAGTAGCTTTATACAGATCAAAAAAATGTTTTACATTGTAACGATTAAAAGCTTCAGCTCTTGCAGCAGATGTTGATTCGGGTTTACGTAATGAAAGCCCTGGGTGCCGTTTTCGAAATCCGTACGCCCAATCTAAACCTGCAAGTTTGTTTGTTTTATTATATGGATGGTCTATGTTATTTTTTTCGGCTAACTGGGAAGCTAGGTGACGAAGATCAAGCAAAGTAATCCCGTATAAACGCCTCTCCATATCTAAGATATAATTATACAATTCTTCTTCCTGTTCCTTGGTAAAAACCGTTTTGTAGAAACCTAGACCCTTTTCGTCAGGAGAAATTCTCGTTACTTTTTCTTTGCATCTGCGAATTAACGTTGCTTTCGGGATACCATAAACTTTACTAGCTTTTAAATAGCCCATCTCCCCAGCTTTAACTGTCCGGATAGCATTCTTCAAGGCAACAAGAGACCAGGATTGTTGCTCAGTTTTCCTCACATAATTTCGTACCATTTCTAACTGCAGAAGATGCATATAATTAAAAAAGTGTCAAGAAAATATAATGGGGCAATGTGAACCACTCCTAGTCCATGTTGCCCCATGCGTAGTACACATTCAAAATATGGAAATTAACGTACCAGTTCACAACGTATCAAAAGCAAATCTTAATTATTAAAAGCACATTTTACAAGCAACACCACAGTATCAAAAAGTTAAAATAATCATGTCTACTTACCGAGAAATCTTTAGTCAAAAGTAGTAAATTCCTTAGATCAGCAGCGACGAAACACGTGTTTTTAATTATAACACGTCTGAACGTACTCCCCGTGCGTTCAAACTCATACTAAAAGTAGATAAGATGTCTACGCATATTTGTAGTAGTTACTAGATGCAGTGTTGCCAATTTTAAACAAAATAACCGATGTTGTTTACATTACCTCCATGGTCCATGATGCCCCATCCTCCCCTATAGTTAATTCCCATGAAAGTGAGTAGATTTTGTAGACAATTATGGTAATCGTTTGGGGTTATTTTATATACATATTTTTTTCATTTTCTTTTCATCTTTCCATTTATACCTTTTATGTTCCAGGTTGCCATTTGTAATATTATCTTTATTTCTTTTTTTTAGGATTTTTAGTTTACAATGTATGTATATATAGCGTCTATCATAGATCTTCTTTTTCTAAAACCGTACTGGTAATCCCCTACGCTTTCTTCTGTATATATTATTAGTATTTCTCTAATTATGCCAGTCATTACTTTATATGTTCTTCTTCTTCTTAGGGTGCCTGTCCCCTTCTTATTCTGGCTATGATGACTTTGTTGGTTGATATACGAAACAGCTGTGTTGAGGTCTTTCTATACCATGCTCTTAGGTTAGCAAGCCAGGATATTCGTCTTCGTTCTGGGGCTCTTTTTCCTACAATTTTACTTTGCACAATGCATTAAACTAGCTTGTATCTGCCTTGATTTCTCATTATATGTCCTAAGTACTGCAGCTTACGGCAATTCACGATGTTGATCAAATCCGCAGTTGTGTTCATCCTCCGCAGTACTTCTTCATTGGTGACTTTTTCTGCCCATGGTCTTTGACACTTACTTGCATGTATATCCTTGAATTACCGTGCTTAATTTTTAAAAAACATAAAGGGGATATTCGGACTGATTCCCCTTATAACACTCGTTTATATTATGTTATTCCACTTTTAATTCCCTCTTCTACATTAATTAAAAAATATCACCTACCCCTCGATTTAAGATTCTCAAGCAATATTTTTGTATTCCGTAGCTAGAGCAATTTATTTAGAGAAATTTTTTGAGGACAGTTGCGCTAATTGATATTTGTTTTCTCTTTTTAATTATAGAAATTTTATAATTGGTATTTTAATGTATCTTGTGCCTTGTTTGTACTATACCACTATACCATGTTGTGTTTTATAAATGTAAACTCATTTTAAAAACAATAAATTTCTCTCTCTTTCTCTTTGCCGCTTGTAACTACAACCTAAGTTCATCCATTTATTAACTTAGAAATGATAACTATAACTATAGTAACTACTCTATTGTTTTAGTGGAAGAACTGTCGGACACTATACACAAATAGTATGGGCTACCACCAACCATGTTGGCTGCAGTATTACTTTCTACGACGATGACGGTTGGGATACTTATTATATGGCATGTAACTATGGACCAGGAGGTAACATTGGCCAAACGCCATTGTATGAGCAAGGAGCGCCTGCTTCAAACTGTGGAGCGTTGCAAGGAAATGCGAAGTATCCTGGACTTTGTGGACCTGATAGTCTCTAGAAAGTTTAGTAAATTGTACATAGGTAACCTTTATGATAAGTTCTGAAGAATTAAAAAAAAATATATACTAAATACTTATTTTTGTTTTATTTTAACGCTAAATTAGGAAAATATGAGTTCGAAGACGTAATTGGTAGGGTAACTGACACCATAAAGACGGAAAATACCAATACAAGAAGCGAAATATTATAGCTGTTTATCTTAAAGTATCTCATTCAGAATTAAATTATAGATTAAATAATATAGAATTTGACATTCTAGATTCTAACGTGAGAATTAATATAGATAATATAATAGAAAAAAAATTCAATACAGTGTAAAAAACTAAATAATTTCATTTGCAATAGTAAAAAAGCTAATATTCATTAAATCTGACATATTTCTCGTTAATTAATACTAATCGCAATCCATATCTAAATTGTCTTCATCCTCTGAATCATCTGCTATATTAATTATCACCGGTTTAATATCTTCCTGCAAATTGTCTACCGCAAACATTTTTTTCTTCTACTTTCTTGACATGGTTCACATAATTATCCCATTTCTCTTTAATTATCGGATTCAGCTCGCAATGGTAAGGCGGCAGTCTTAAAATCTTAACGTCATATTTTTCCGAAATTGTTTTAATTTTGTACTTGACTCGTCTCTAAATGTAGAGTATCTAGTAATCCACTTTTTATGTAATTTTCTTCGAGGAAAATGTTATTTTTGATTAGCGAATCTTCAATTTGCCTTTTGTTCCACAATTTTTTTTAGAGAAATCAAATTTGCGGAAGTGGCATGACGCGTTATCCAAAACCACAACGTTTTTTTTCTCTTTCGGCAAGTTTGGAATTAATGTCTTCCCAACGTGGAGCGCCATAAAAATATGTGTGACCTCGGAAACCTTTTTTTGGATGGTGCTAGAAAGGTCACCAATGGAGACACTGCGGACGGCAGCCAGATGGTTGGTTAGATGATAGAATCTTATCTTGATAGAACAAGAATCTTATGTTGATAGAACAAGATAAGATATATTAGAAAAGATACAGAAATGAACAAAAAGATGGATGGGTAAAATTACCAAAGATGAGATAAGATAGAAACAGGGCGCCACTCAATTTTTTTTTGTTAAGGAGAATATTAAGAAACCTTAGAAAAAAAAAGAGATAAGGAAAAATATTTATTCTGAAGCTATTTTCTTGTGGCATTGTATATTAATTACTATTTATAACTGGGAATAAACCACAATTAAAGATAAAAATACGTTTATCGAAGTTTCAATTTCCGTTTCGGAGAAGGATTTCCGAATTGGAAATTGAAACGTCAATAAACGTATTTTTATCTTTAATTGTGGTTTATTCCCAGTTATAAACAGTAATTGAAAAATATTTAGGTTAAGAGATCAAACCCAAGGAAAGATATCAATGGGTAATTATTAAATAAATTTGCTCAACACATTATATAAACAAATAATAAATATATTAGGTATTAATCAATCAAAAGACTGATATTTTTTTGTACACACTTATGACAAGTCGAAAGAAAATGTAAAAAAGTATTTTTGAAGTGTGTATATTTTAGGCAATTCCTAGCTGAGCGTTTTCGGCTTTACAAAGCCATCATCAGAGCTATGCTACAATAAAATGTTCTTACAAGTACTAATTGGTAAAGATTATAATTTTTAACTTACGTCAATTTTTTAAATACCACTACAAAGGAGAGATCTCATTTCCTTATATTTCAAAATTATGATTTTTTAGTTGTTGAAATTTGTTAAAACATATAAAAAACATATAAAAAGCCGACACTGGACTTCACAAACACGTTAAAAAATTGAAAAAATTTTTGTCATGGTACGGGTGTAAGAACCCGACCATTGATTGATGTGAGGATGTAGACAGAATAGAACTAATGAAATCAAATGTCGGTCCTTTTCAACGATTTTTCAAAAGTGACAGTTGACAAATGTCATATATAGGAAATAGAGATTGTTTTTTTAAATTCTTACAAAATTATTTAATAGTTTGGAATTACTAATAGTCATCAAAGACTTTCTAAAAATTAAGTTTTTAAATTAAATTTTATGTGTTCATTACATCATACAGAATAATATTAGTTTGTAAATTCACTCAAGTCATTGCTCAAGGTCAATGTATGTTCAATCTGACAGCTATCCTTAAGAAACAAGGGCTCAAATTGTTCAACAACAATATAAAGAAGAAACATGGTATTAATGTTACGTTATCTGATACTTAAGTGTATTGAGAATTGTATCTCTTGATGGAAATTTGTAAGAAATTTGCATAAATTTTTTAAGAATGTATTTTCATGTTTCAATTAAGAACAACTGTCAAATGAATTACAAAATGTTGTAAATTTCTAATAAAGTTTAAAATTTGTTTAAAAATATAAAAGTATGAAAAATATATAATAAGATTGCATGAGGTCACCCTTCTTCCTCTAAAGTCTCCCATAATAATTTAAAAAGAGGTTTATAATTGCAATTGAGGTTGATTTGTGTGTTTAAGCAGCAATCAGGGTTTAGTTTCATTTCTTTGGATATCTCAAGATCTTCCAAGAGATTCATGAGTCTAAAGTTTTTATTGGATATCCAAAGAAATGAAACTAAACCCTGATTGTCGCTTAAACACACAAATCAACCTCAATTGCAATTATAAACCTCTTTTTAAATTAATATGGGAGACTTTAGAGGAAGAAGGGTGACCTCATGCAATCTTATTATATATTTTTCATACTTTTATATTTTTAAACAAATTTTAAACTTTATTAGAAATTTACAACATTTTGTAATTCATTTGACAGTTGTTCTTAATTGAAACATGAAAATACATTCTTAAAAAATTTATGCAAATTTCTTACAAATTTCCATCAAGAGATACAATTCTCAATACACTTAAGTATCAGATAACGTAACATTAATACCATGTTTCTTCTTTATATTGTTGTTGAACAATTTGAGCCCTTGTTTCTTAAGGATAGCTGTCAGATTGAACATACATTGAGCTTGAGCAATGACTTGAGTGAATTTACAAACTAATGTCATTCTGTATGATGTGATGAACACATAAAATTTAATTTAAAAACTTAATTTTTAGAAAGTCTTTGATGACTATTAGTAATTCCAAACTATTAAATAATTTTGTAAGAATTTAAAAAAACAATCTCTATTTCCTATATATGACATTTGTCAACTGTCACTTTTGAAAAATCGTTTAAAAGGACCGACATTTGATTTCATTAGTTCTATTCTGTCTACATCCTCACATCAATCAATGGTCGGGTTCTTACACCCGTACCATGACAAAAATTTTTTCAATTTTTTAACGTGTTTGTGAAGTCCAGTGTCGGCTTTTTATATGTTTTTTATATGTTTTAACAAATTTCAACAACTAAAAAATCATAATTTTGAAATATAAGGAAATGAGATCTCTCCTTTGTAGTGGTATTTAAAAAATTGACGTAAGTTAAAAATTATAATCTTTACCAATTAGTACTTATAAGAACATTTTATTGTAGCATGGCTCTGATGATGGCTTTGTAAAGCCGAAAGCGCTCAGCTAGGAATTGCCTAAAATATACACACTTCAAAAATACTTTTTTGCATTTTCTTTCGACTTATTAGGTATTACACTTACTTACCTACGAAACTTAATCAGTCTGATCTTTCTACTGGTTAAAGGCATAATATTAATTAAAGGTAAAAAGCAAATATTCAGAGTTACTATTTTATCAGGTAACTTGTTAGGAACCGATAAATAAAATACATACATAAAACAATAACAATATATTCAACAACAAAATTATGACGCTACTGAATGCAACACAAGTACTAAAAGTACACCAACAACTATAAAATGGTTGTATACATATAAAAATAAGCAGTAATTTAATTAGAAAATACCTTTACAAAGATATATAATACAATCATGTACAAATAAAGTTTTGGCGTATCTCGAGATATTACAGCAAAAAAAAATGAATAAAAATTATAACGAACACAAAAGATAACAAAAATTAATCAATTCTAAATTTACAAAAATATTAAAAGGTTACAGAAATGAAAACATAAGAATTTAACCAAACCGCACTTGGTTAAGTGGATTAACTATCTCGCACTAATATTTAATGAGAAACTGAGACTTAAATGTTCATAATTATTACTTATTGAAATTTCTTGAATCTATTGAAATGTTCTTTAAATTGAATGCAAAAATCAGCAATCTACAGGTGAAAACATGAAGGAAGATAATGATAATGATAAAGATAATGATTACTTACAGTAAATCTTGACGACTGCGGCACTAGGTACTTCACTGAAGCTATATACTGTAAGTAATACTTTACTTGTATCCAACACTGACTTTAATTAACATTAAAGGTACTTTAGAACTATATTGAAATGATTTCAATATGTTAAAGAGGATACAATTTAAATGGATTTTTATATGAGTTTGTTGTTCATGAATTTCATGAAGCTATCACAATGTGGGTTCGACTCTGAAATAAAAGAGAGAAAAAGATTAGTAAATTGTTAAATACATTAATTTTGACTTACCTGGTATAGTGTTAATAATTTCTGAATAGTATAGTTGCCTAGTGTATAGGTGAATCGTCTAAACCTTAAAAAAAAAAGAAGAAGAATTCTTAAAAAATATTTAAACATAGAAATTTAAAAAAAATAAATAAAGGAAATTTATTTAAAGTGTCAAGCAAGTCTGTGGGAGCTAAATTAATAGGGGTTTTGATAAATAAGAAATTACAATGTGGTGATGAAAAGAATAAATTGTATTAATAGAATAAGTTTTATATCTGAACATTTTTTTTATATTCCCAAATTAGATGTGATTAAAGTGATTATGAGAAATTAATGTGGCTTGACAAATGTGTCAGAACAGGACAGTTTTATGGTTTAAATAAATTTTAAATAGAAGACGAAAAAAAGAAGGTTGGTTGCGGTTAGCAACGAAAAAAAATTATTTTGGAGATGCCGACGCTAATTTTAGACTTCTTGCCCCGAAACTGTGGAATAGGCCGGGAGTGTTTTCAACTCGTCTGATTAAAATTTAGTTTTTCCACAGTTTCCAGTGTTTTGGAAGAGCAGAGATATCCAGAATTTGTTTCAGAGAGTAAGAGAAACAATTTGAGTTATAAATTATTATTGGAGTACAGAAATTTCATTGAAGTTGAGAAAATTAAAATTCATGAATTAACAGAATTGCGATAGGCCTCATAAATTGAAAAATATTAATGATCATTAAATTAAAACTAGAGTAGTACGTACCTTAAATTCCGAAGAGAGGATTGATATTCCAGTTTCACTGATAATTTTGCGAGAAGTTAGTTTTCTTTAAAGAAATCAGTACTGTTTTAAAGTGAGGTTGGATAATAATTTAGGGGATCATTTGTAATTTTGATTATATTTTAATGCAAATCGAAAGTCAGCGGAATAAAGTGTTCAGTTTCTTTTTCTTTATAGCTCATTTAAACACTTTACAAAGTTGCAATATTTATTTAGATTTTAGGTACTTGTAGAAAGTCTCCACATTTTGTAATCGATTTTATAATCGATTTACACGACACTAAACCATATTAACGTTGACACGATTCCTATTTTTGTAAATTTTTAAAGGCAACCCAAGTTGCATACGAATTTTATTGTTCAAAATAAATTTGTTCAATATTAATAAATAACGTGCTTCATTTGGGTTAATTTATCAAAAGTCTAAAGTAAATTTTGGTTTAATTTCTGTTTGAACTCTACCAGGAGACTACAGAGTCGACGTCACACAGTGACAGATTGCTAAGAACACATAATTGAACTAGCCGAGGTATATTAAATTAAACAACGAACCACATACTTTTAAAATACAACATTTATTATCAATAAAAATTAAATTAATAAAACATAACCTTTACAATATATAATCTAATATAGTATAAGAAAAGAAAACTCAAATATAAAGTGTATTTATACACTTTGAAAACATTTCACAAACGGTAAGATAACAGATAGGATGTGAGCGAAGCGTCTCACGAGAAATTAGCCTTTACTCCACAACGGCCCACCGAGAAATAAAAAAGGTTCTTCAAAAATTTTATCAAACTTTAATTAAAAAAAAGAAGAAGGGATATCTCCCTCTTAAAAATCGTAGGCCAGCCTGTATCTATTTCTGAGAATGTAAGATTCTAACGACATCGGAAACTTTGAGGTATTTACGGTAATAGTAATTGGACGTGATAAAATATAAATCTTCTAGATTAGGTTTTTCCCGAAAAACATTACAACGGGCGTTCGACGACAATTACCGTATTTATGAAAAAGAACCCGGAAAAGGATTAACTAAGAATTAGCCAAACCGGCGTCTTTAAATAAATAGGTAGGTAGATTCTTCAGTCATATTTCGGTATTTTCCCAATAAAAATTTCTGATCGTAAACACGACCATCAGCGTATCATCACGGGGTTAAAAGGAATTAAAATAATTTAATATATTAATTATAAAAAATGTTTCAACATCAATATGAAGAAGAGATCCATTTATGAAGGCATCTCCTGAATTCTTAATTGTTGTGTCGTTCAATTATTTTTTGACTGAAGCACCGGTGTTAGTCCAAGACTCATCGGCATAACCAAAGTTTACATTATCCTTCTTCCTCAATGTCTTTAATTGTCTTGATGTTATATGTCTTTATTTATATCTTTATTGCTATTATTCCTACAGTAATGCAAAAGAAGGTAGTCGTTTAATGTATTCCTTTACCAAAGAGACTTAATGAAAGAAATTTATTTTTAAGGCTTCTTTTCCTCCTTTGGTCTTGTTTATCCATGTTCTTGGTTATGCCATTTTCTTTCGTATATCGTAGCGTCATTTGGGAAACATTAAGAAGAAGGTGGCTAATTGGCTATGCCAAAGCCAATATGCAATAAAAAAAAGTATTCATGCAAAGGGGGGTTCTATGAAAACAAGGTATTCATGCAAAGGGGGGTTCTATGAAAACATTAGAGAAAGGTGATTTTGATTGCTCATTTGATGATATTTCAAATATAATCAGATTCTTTTAAAGATGAAGGCAACTGAAGAAGGCCAATTAATTAGGAATTACTCATATATGTGGATAAGTTTTGCGAATAAACAAATTAAAAAATTCCATGAAAAATTAGAAATTAAAATTCCACTTGTCAAGCTAAAATAGAAAATTCATCGATTATACATATGTAATATAAAAATTGTTTACTTCAAACCAAACTGTAAACAAATGTTAGTAATTTACATGCTTATCAAGCTAATGTTTAAATAATATAAAAAAAGGAATGTATGGATGAAAGAAAAGGCATGTGTTTTATTTTTGGTGCGGAAATCGTTATCCATCCTCTGCAATTATTCGTTAATTTTATTTAAAATTATCACTTTACGTAGGTAATGGAAAAACAGCAGTTTAAGGGCCTTCTTAGAATATTGATAAGATATGAACGGGTATATAAAAACAATAATTTGCGAAGCGTTATTCAAACACTTAGTAGTTTCAGAAGCAACACAATGGATAGACGTATTAAGCTGTTTTATTTGCTTTTCGTACTTTATACTGTAAAAGCTCAGACTGATTATTGCAAATTAAGTTGTGATGGTACGGTACAGACGGTGTGCGAAAGAAAAAATGTGGTAAGTAGTGTTTAACTTAGTAGTGTAATTTTATTCTATTGTGTTTCTTGTTCTTTTTGCTTTCTTCCATGCAAGATATTTTCTTTCATTATTTTTCTATTTTTCTTTTTCATATAAACATTGATCATACTTTTCTATATTTTCCTGGAGTGTAACCAACTATCTAGATATTTAATTAATACATTGCGCTTCAATATTAACGCATAATTTTAAAATTCTGATTTTGAGTTGTAACAAAAAAATTTTGTTTGTTCTTTTCTGCTTTATGGTTATTTTAGAACATCTTAAATAAAAAACTTTTCTTTTTTTACAAAAAATGTATTGAAATTAGCAATATAACATCATACATCTAAACATCTAAACAAACAACTGATCTAAACAAACTTCTTCTTAAAGTGCCTATCCGTTCCGGATGTTGGCGATCATCACGGCTATTTTACTTTGTTTACTGCAGCGCGGAACAGTTCAGTAGTAGTCGTGTTATACCACTTTCGTAAATTTTGAAAACAGGAAATGCGTCATTATCGTAAAATCGTCGTAAAATCGTCAAATCGTAAATTTTGAAATCAGGAGCTCGACAAAAATGGAAATATTATATTGGAAACAGAACAAAAACTACGACGATGGAAAGAGTACATCGAAGAATTATTTCATGACCAGAGAGAAGCTAGTACATCTGTAGATAGCCAAACGGGAGATGTAGGTCCAGAGATAACCAAATCAGAGGTTAGTCAGGCATTAAACTCAATGAAAACCAATAAATCTGCTGGTCCAGATGAATTACCAAGCGAGCTACTAAAGTTGGTCAACGAGAAAAACCTGGACATAATAGTAGAACTATTCAACGCTATCTACACTACGGGAATCATTCCTAGAGAAATGTTGACATCAGCATTTGTGTGTTTGCCAAAGAAGATGAATGCCAAAGAGTGTAGTGACTATCGAACCATAAGCTTAATGTCACATACCTTGAAAATTCTCTTGAAAATTATCCACGCCAGAATACACTCTAAACTGGAGCTGGATATTAGTGACACTCAATATGGGTTCCGCAATGGTATGGGTACCAGAGAGGCATTATTCTCCTTCAATGTGCTGACACAGAGATGTTTGGATGTTAACCGTCCTCTTTACGTCTGTTTTATAGACAATAAAGCGTTTGATAAAGTAAAACATGATCAACTCCTGGAAATTCTAAAAAATAAAAACCTAGATGAAAGAGATTTAAGGCTAATAACACACCTCTATTACAATCAGCGAGCAATAGTAAGAATCGAAAAAGAAACATCTGAAGAAATGGAAATAAAGAGAAGAGTCAGGCAAGGCTGCATTCTATCACCTCTATTATTTAACGCCTATTCTGAAGAGGTAATTCGAGAAACTCTGGAAGATGAAACAGTCGGCATAAGAGTAAATGGAGTCTTAATTAACAACATCAGACATGCAGATGATACAGTAATAATAGCCGATAGTTTACAAGACCTGGAAAGGTCCAGTACGGACTCTCTCTTAATGTCAAAAAGACGAAGTTTATGAAAATTTGTAAAAACAACTATAATACTAACGAAATCTTGATAGTAGAGGGCCAGCAGATCGAAAGAGTAAAAAAGTACACTTACCTAGGAACACTTATAACAGAAAATAATGACTACACGGCAGAAATCAAAGTCAGAATCGAAAAAGCACGTTCTAATTTTATAAAAATGAAAAAGGTCCTATGTGGCAAAGATCTAACATTAGCTCTTAAAGTACGCCTAACAAAATGTTACGTATACAGTGTACTATATTATGGAGTGGAATCATGGACGTTAAATCTAGATACCATGAGACGACTTAACGCCTTTGAGATGTGGACCTATAGAAGAATTATGAGGGTTTCCTGGGTAGATAGAGTTACAAACAATGAAATACTGAGAAGAAGAGGCAAAGAGAAGGAAATTGAACTTACAATTAAAGAAAGAAAGCTACAGTATCTCGGACATGTGATGCGGGGCGATAAGTATGGCATCCTGCGGCTCATAATGCAAGGAAAAATAGATGGCAGAAGAAGCATCGGAAGAAGACGAATTTCATGGCTGAAGAACCTGAGAGAATGGTTTGGATGCAGCTCAAAACAACTATTTAGAGCTACTGCCTCAAAAATTAAGATAGCTATGATGATTGTCAACCTCCGTAGCGGAGATTGTCAACCTCCGTACCTGAAGAAGAAGAAGAAATGCGTCTTCTTCCCGGTCCTCTCTTACCATTTACATACCCTTGGAGAATCAGCTGGAGAAGGCCGCAACGTTCTTGATTTCTTATTACATGTCCTAGATATTCCAACTTTTTAGTTTTGACGGTCATGAACATTTCACATTCTTTCCCCATTCTACGCAGGACCTCCACATTAGTAACTCTGTCAATCCAGGATATACGTACGATGCGCCTATAACACCACATTTCGAAAGCAGTTCAATAGACGGCATTTTGTTTTTAATGATATGTCTCGATTGTTGAAAATGGTTCTAATTTCAGCGGGGAATGGTCTGAGTTGACATCTGCTCCTGTTTTCTACATTTAAACATTACTGTTTTAATTGAGTTTTTGTAAATATTTTTGACTAACTTTAATCTTCACAACAACCTTAAAAATCTGTGTTATTTGTTCAATGGATCACCAAAAATCTTGATGTAAAGAGCCCCCAATTGATAACATAATTTAAGTACAATCCTATTCGCATGTATCACTACTGTTTTAACTTCACAAAAATTGCATCAAATCAATTTGGGCAGAAATTATTTTTATTTGTTCATATGTATGTACAATGTTTCTCATTATATTTTGACCCCCACTTATTTTCCTTAGTTTTGGGAATACAAAAAAAGTTTTAAATAAAAGTTGTATTATTTTATCTGTACCAACCAACAATGTAGCAACAGACCAAATTTTGTATACAGGGAGTGCTCAATAAAATGCATCTTCAATATTTCAAATGGGACACCATATATTTTTTTATAGTTTGGAGTAGCCCTGCATTTCATGATTACCAATATATACCATATAATACAAACTACTACAAAATGGTAACCATAGGTGGCTATGCAACTAACATTTCAAAATGAAACAATTATTAATTTATTATAAACTGTCAGTCCTCATCCCGAAAACGTTTATACTGCAGATGAAAACTAGATATATTCTCAATTTATGTAAAAAATAATAGAAACAGGCAAGAGGCAAGAAGAGAGTATGGACTGATTTATCCAGATCGACAGACTCCTTCTGCAAATACATTTTTATATAATTATCGTCATGTCATAAATGAAAAAATGTTTGAACGGAAGAAACGTACTATCGTAGGAAATGATAATGAAGTTCTTAATACTTTGCTTTAATTTAAAGGTAAAAATTAAATACTTAAATAATAGATTAAATCCGTAATAACATTTTCATTTTAGAAAATTCCGAAACTAGTCTAAACAATGCTACTAATGCATTAGAAAAAAAGCCGAGCGACGATACATAGAGTTTTAAAAAAGCACAACTATAAGCCGTACAAAATATTACCGGTACAAGAACTTACCGATGTTCGTAAGAGAAAGCGTTTACAGTTCTGTCAAGACAGGCTTACAAATTTGAACAATGATCCTAATTATTTTTATGACTTTTTATAAATGTACATATAGGTGAATCAAATTTTTCAACTTCAGGCATTTTTAATAGCAGAAATAGGTATTCTTGGAAAAATTATGGAAATAAAAAAGTCAGGAAGAAAATCAATAAATGTGTGGTGCGGAATATTTCAAAACAAATTATTTGGACCATTGTTTTATGATTATAAATTAACTGGGGAATCATATTTGGATACAGTCATTACAGAAGTGGATGAGTTATTAAATCAAAATTATACACCAAATAAATTAGATAGTATGATATGGCAACAAGATGGAGCACCGCAACATAATGTCGTAGCCGTTCAAAAACATTTATATAGTCAATTTAATGTGTGGATCGGCAATAAGGGTACCATTAGATGGCCACCAAATAGTTCCTACTTAACACCATGTGATAGCTTGTTACGGGGGTTTTTAAAAGAAAAAGTGGATTTTGATTCAAATACAAATATTAACACTATCACGGCAAAAGTTCACGCAGAAATTGAAAATTTAAATGATCATAATAACACAATATCTGACGCAATAGAAAATTTGAGACGACGATATTACTTGTAATCTTAAATGTAGTATTGTATCTTAAATGAAGTATTGTAAGTCATTAATTTTGTTGACTTTTTCTAAAAATATACTATAGTATTTTTTTTCTTATCTTATTATAGTATAGTAGTACCATAGGCCATTATGGATCAAAACTAATGCTACACTATGTTATATATTTAATTGGGGGCTCCTTACATCAAGATTTTTCCACTGAACAAATAACACAGATTTTCAAGATTGTTGTGAAGATTAAAGTTAGTCAAAAATATATACAAAAGCTCAATTAAAACACTAAAAGCATACTCCGGAGCAGATGTCAACTTAGACCATAACCCGATCATAGCTAGAGTGTACATCAATTATTATATAAATAAAAATATTATATAAATTTACATAAAACATTTTCTTCTTTCATTCATTACCTTCGACAAATGTCGTCTAGCATCCAGTCCTATTCCTTATATTTTGTTGTACAAAACATTTTGTTGCTTAACTCAATGATCGCTGTTTTAAACATGTGTCATTGCCATTTTAAGTTGTTAAAAAAATCCCATACATGACTTTACTACAAATTTTTTACTACTCCAGAACTGTGGAGCTGATCCACAGATTTGCAAAAATTTCAAAGAAATGAAATTGAATGATGCAGAGAGACGACTGGTGCTGGACGTTCATAACAAATTGAGAAATAAAGTTGCTACAGGAAAAGAAACGAGGGGACCTCAACCTAAAGCGTCGAATATGAAAGCTCTGGTACGTAGATATTTTTTAGTGTCGATATTGTCAATGAATAGCATATATTTATGTAACTATTTCATATTTTATTTTATAATGTTATAATATATCTAATAATCTTAATATTTTTAGAGTTATAGTAAGGAACTGGAATATATAGCTCAATGTCACACAAACTCGTGCAAGTGGGGTCACGACAAATGTAGAAAGACTCGTAAGTAACGTATTATTCTTATGTTTCTAACTATTTGTGTTATTTTAACGCATTATTTTATCTCAATCTTTATTTATTTGTTCTTATACAAAACAGCGGATGTCCTTTTTGACGTTGTAATAAGTAGCACCTCCAAAACTTACGTTTATCTCATCCAATGGGTAAAACTCATCCAGGAAATGTTTTGTAACCTCGGAAACCTTTTTTGGGTGGTGCTAGAAAGATAACCAATGGAGACACTGCGGACGACAGCCAGATGGTTGGTGGAGAGCGAGTCGTGGGTTCGAAACTAGCTTTTGGAACCGAGAATGGATCCAACGGAAGAAATAGGTGAAGATAGGATAAGAGATATTAGAAAAGATACAGAAATAAACAAAAAGATAGATGGGTAAAATTACCAAAGATAAGAGAAGATAGAAACAGGGCGCCACTCAATTTTTTGGGGTTAAGGAGAAAATTAAGAAAACCTTAGAAAAGAAAAGAGATAAGAAAAGATATTTAGGTTCAGAGATCAAACCCAAGGAAAGATACCAACAGTAATTTATCAAATAAATCTGGTCAACGCAATATATAAACAAATAATAAATATATTAAGTATTACACTTACTTACCTACGAAACTTAATCAGCCTGATCTTTCTACAGTTCAAAAGCATAGTAATATTTAAAGATAGTAAATGTTCAGAGCTATTATTTTATCAGGGAACTTGTTAGGAGCCGACAAATAAAATACACGCATAAAACAATAACAATATATTAAACACAAAATTATGATGCTGCTAAATGCAACCCAGGTAATAAAAATACACAACTATGAAATGGTGTTATATATGTATAAAATTAAGCTATAATGTAATAAAAACATATCTTTACCAAGATGTATAAGGCAATCATATACAAATATAGATTGGCGTATCTCGAGATATCAAAGGAAAGATAATGAACAAAAATTATAGGAAATACTAAAGATAGCCAAAATTACTTAACTCTAAATTTACAAAAAAACAAAAAGGTTACAAGAATGAAAACATAAACCAAACCGCACTTGGCTAAGTCAATTAACTATCTCGCACTATTATTTAATAAAAACTGAGACTTGTATGTTCATAGGTAATATTTATAGAAATTTCTTGAATGGTTCAATTACATTCAAAAATCGGCAATCTTCAGGTGAAGATATATATGATACGTCCAGATAATGGCAGGTGATATGGTACCATACCATATTACTCGCCCAGATAATTGTAGATAAAATTACTTACAGTAGATCTTGACGAAGGCAGCTTAATTCACTGAATTTAATACTTTTCTGGTACTAAACACTGAATTTAATAACCATTAAAGGTAGTGTAGAACTATATATAATTTAATATAGTCTAAGGAAAGGAAACTCAAATATAAAGTGTATACACGCTTAGAAAATAATTCACAAAGACGATACGATAAGAAATAAAGTGAGCAAAGCGTAACACGAGATATTGGCCTTAACTCAACAACGGCCCACCAACAAGTAACTTGGTTCCACTCAAAATTTCACCAACTGTCCCTGAAAAAGGAAGAAGAAAATATTCCCCCACTCAAGAATGATAGAACAGTTGTATGTGTTTCTCAGAAGGTAAAGCCTTAACGACTATTGGAAACTTTGAGGTAAAATAATCGGTATTAACAATTGGACATAAGAAACAGACAATACTTGAGATTAAGTTATTGTCAAAAGAAACGGGCCTTCGACGAAAATTACCAATTTATGAAAAGGAAACTGCATACCAAAACGCATTATACTCTTTTCATAATGAATATTATGACGGAAGGATTAAAAACCATTCCTAATTAGAGAATTCCATATTAGCTGGGTATCTACAATATTTTGCTATCGATACACGATCATAGGCGTATCGCACGGGGGTAAAAGGAATTAGAAATATTTAATATATTAATAATAAAAAAAAATGTTACAGTTTATACAAATAGATAAATATATACACATGAACCACACAGTAATTATAAATAGTGCAAGTGGTATTTTGATTCATTAATAAGTATATTTCAAAATTTACACAGAAGTCTTACATTAAGACAAACTGAAAATTCAAGTAAGAAGAAGTGAGGATTACAAAATTCTCAGAAAAGCGTTTGTACAAAATAAAATAGTGTTCCATACTTTTTACTCCCCGAAGAACAATCTTTTGTGATTTAAGATATATCCACCACAATACAGGAGATCCAAAAAGCCCTTGTAGAAGAAGGATATACAAAATTCATGAATGTCCATAACAGGGAAAACAAGCAACAAAAAAATCTATTCTATATTGATTTGAAAAGTATTGAAACAACAAAAACACCTTTGGAATAACACACTTATTACATGCTGCAGTATGCTTCGAAGCACCCGATAAAAACCCATATAATACAGTGTAAATGTTGCCAAAACTACGGTCACTCAAGAAATCAATGCACATTGCCGTATAGATGTATTTAATGTGCTGGAAATTATGATTACCGAAATTACAAAAAAACATAAAACTAATGGATAACTAGCAAAATGTACCTTATGTGGAGGTGCATACTCATCTTATTATAAAACCTACCAGGCTTATCTAGAGATACAAACTAAAAGATACACAAATAGAAATTGAAATGAGGTTGAATGCTCGAATAAATGAACTTTGAAAATAAGGGATGCTGACAGAGAATGTAGCGGAATCTGTCCTCCAGATACTGACAGAGAATGTAGCGTCGAATCTTTAAGTAATTTTAAACTGTTTGTCCTCGTTTTAGTGTAGTGTTTTGTACAATTTTATGTTATTTTTAATGTTTCCACATTCTACGCTTGCCGGATAGTTTACATTTTGACGAAATGCCCCTGAAAATGCTATTTTAAGCGAAAGTACTTGGGCTAGATTTAATTAACTTTTGCTCGATAATAGCCTTATTTTCAAAGTACAAATAGAAATGTGAAGTTATTTTAGAAAAATACAGTCAATTTTACAGTATCACAATATCAAAATCATCTTGAGTTTACAGAAAACAATAGAAAACTAACAATAAATCTGTTGACCCTAGAAATACAACAGTTAAGAGAACTCTTCTTCTTCTTCTTCCTCTTCTTCTTCTTTTTTATAAGCAAAATGCTTGTTCAATGTCGAATAATGCCTCTATTGGAGGTTATCACTCCATCTTTTGCGTGGTCGCCCGATACTTCTACCTTTTGGTGATTTGTCCCTCGCTATTCTGACTAATCGGGTCTCTTCCATTCTGTTTATATGTTCGTTCCGTTCCTTTTTTTCTGTTCAGTGTCCACTCATTTATTTCTGGTATATTGTTAAGAGAACTCATTACTAAAAAGAAATGGTGACATTACAACTCATAAGAATTGCTGAATGGAACGCAAATTGATTTCTAAATTATGGTTCTGATCGAAATACGTGTTGTTTACGTCCATTTTATGGGTCAACATATTCCTCCATCAGAGCAATTAATTCGATTAGCCATTAATTGTTTTCGTACCACGATTACTCTAAATAATAATACGCAATCACAGAGATATCGTACAGTGCATACAGAAGAAGCTGTTGATGCTTTAGAGCGTATCATAGAGGAGGACCTGAATCAGTCTATCTTCCATCGCACACCATCCACTTTATGGAAGATTTTGCTGAAACATCTTGGTTTGCGTGCTTCAAAATCCAACTCATGCAAGAATTAAAGCTACACGACCACCTAGCAAGACATAGATTCGGTGAATGGGCCCAAAACGAGATTGCCCTTGATTCCGATTTACATAAGCATAATTTTTTTTAGCGTTGAAGCTCACTTTTGGTTGAATAGCTACGTTAACCAACAAAACTGTCGTATTTGGAATGAAGATAATCCTGAAGTGTATGTTCATACACCATTACATCCAGAAAAACTGACTATTCGGTGTGCTTTATGGGCTGGTAGAGCTGGTATGGGCCATTTGTCCATATTTCTTCAAAAACGATGCTGTTCAGAACGTTACAGTGACTGGTGACCCCTATGGATCCATGATTACTGACTTTTTTCTAACAGCTCTTGTTTGATCTAAGAGCTAACATGTCTCACAGCTCGTGTCACAATTGGTTTATCTCTTAATTTAATATTAAGAAACCACAGTGGTTTCTTAACTGTAGAATAATAACGTTTCTTTAATATACGTAAATGCTAACTATACGTAAATTTTACGTACTCACTGATTTAGGTCTAGTATTTTCTTTTATTTCATATCTAATTCAAACAAAATGGTTTAATTTCAAGAGACGTTTATTTAGGAACAATACAAATAAAAAACATTGAAATATTAATAATCAAAACACAAACAACATAAAATAGATATTATTCTGAAGCTATTTTCTTGTGGCATTTTAAATTAATTACTATTTAACTGGGAATAAGCCACAATTAAAGGTAAAAATACATTTATTGACGTTTCAATTTCCACTTCGGAAATCGTTCTCAAAATAAAAACGATTGTATTTTGAGAACGATTTCCGAAGTGGAAATCAAAACGTCAATAAATGTATTGTTACCTTTAATAATTGTGGCTTATTCCCAGTTAAATAGTAACTAATAAAATAGATATTTTTGACACAGAACAGAATCTTGTAATAATATGTACACGATAAACCTGTGTATGAAATAAACATTACAAATATAGAAACGATAACCTTCTATTGATGTACACATTCCATGGATATTTTTATTTGATGCTCTCCACACAAGGCACTCACACACTTGTAATGTAATGTAAACATAGCAAGAAAATAAAGAATAGAAAAAATAAGGGCTAGTAGCATAAGGGAGAATAATAATCATTTTAGCACTTATTATATATTCCAAATTCAATAAAGAATAAATTTGATACAGTAACGTATACATTTTAAATTATACAAAGAAAAACAATTTGACCTAGTTAGTTGCATGACACTAGCCAATATCAGTTGCAACAATTGTTCAAAAAAGAAAATAGTCACGTTTTAATAAACATAGACCTACGCTGGAAAATATCACCAGCGCCGACCTGGTTTAAATCACGAGGACTCAGCAAAAACTCGACCTTGGCACTACAACCGGCATTTGAGAATAGGCATTCATAAAAACCGAACGAAGTTGGCCAGATGAGGTCAGTAGTAGCTGGGCAGCCGTGACTGCCCGAGGCAGTAATTGCCGGCGGGAGCGTCGAATACGTCAGTCAGTATCTTGGGGGAGGGCTGTCAAGACGAGAGGCGACACCATGTGCGGATTACGCGCAATTGTTATATTTCGACGGGATATAGTTCCGTATAAGTGTCGGGTACTGGGAGTTTGAAAAGCGCGACAGAGCGCGATACCTCCACAACTGAATTCGATTTCCAGAGGAACTGAAGGGCGTATCATTAGCTAAAGCCTAAAAACGCGAAAGGTAACAAAATTCTATATACTAACCCGAGTAAATTATAGTAGCAACCCCTCTACTTTCTTGCTAAGATCTCTTCTCGTCTCACTTCGCGCCCAACGAGTTATTATTGATTATATCTGACAGCTTGTTAACTTAATTGTAAACCACATAGTATATTCAATACATTTCTAGACTCTAAATTTGGTTTTTATGTTCCTTCCGGCCGATTCAGACAGAGACCAGAAGAGTACAAAATTTCTGCTTATGCATATCCCCGGCTTCGTAAGTAAGCCCATAGACTCAACTCTTTACAGGACCTGAGACCGCAGATAAAAATACCAAACCTAACAGTGGTTTTACTTCAGGCAATGTCGTTTCTAAAACAGTAGCTTTTTTTGTCTGGTACTTCTCTTGTAACTCTGCAATTTTTTCGTTTGTACGTAGCGAAACTTCGTCCAGAATCTGATCTGTAAAAAATAAATTAAAAACATCTATAGGTTCTATAGCACCTTTAGCTAATTTGGTTGGACCTGAAAGGATATAAACAATATTTCTGAATGCGACTTTACGACCTCCATCATTTATTGGTAAATTACTCCACTTATAACCGTTTTTACCTACTAAAGACTTTATCCCATGTTATAACAGACGATTTTTGCTGACGGCTGCTGCGTAATTTTAATTCTTTTACGAGAGCGTGTATTTCTTGTTTTTTTTTGTGAGTTTCTGCTGGTGTATCTGCCCAGGTATTAGCTAGTTTTGTGAAGACATTTTCTTCGTCCTGTGTAGGATCATAGTCTCTATCTTCAATACTATATCACTGAAGTCACTTTTATTTATAATGTCCTCCAATTATTTCTCAGTAAGAGGGCGCTTTAGATTAACATTTGATTTTGCAGACATCTTATTTATACTTTAATAATAACAACATGTTACAATTACGTACAAAACTTTCAACTAAAATCAAAGATTACGGTCAAAGCCCAACCCAAACTAAAATCAAAGTGAGTATGAGCATGAAGTGAGGATAGCATTGCCACGTTTAGTTTTCCTTCAGTAGCTGTCAGATTAAAATCGGTACGTAAAATTTACGTACGTTAGTACTCTAGGGTTAAAGGAAACTCTATTAACCGCATAATTTCATTGTTTCGGACCCGTGAATTGGCATTCATGTCAGAGTTAGCCGTGGCAGTCATATACCAGAAATAATATTTAAATTATAATACCAAAAGTTTATACATCTTTCGAATAATGTCAATTTATAAAAATCATCTTTGTTTTATTTCATTTCAAAGTTCTATACCTCAAAAAAGAACTCTCCTTACAAACAATTAATTATTGTGATGATTACTATGTTTTGAATTTTCATTGTCTCTCAGTCTATTAAGAAAAATAAATTAAAAAATATTAAATTAATTATATATTGGTTCTTAACTTTTTCAGTTCAATGGGGATGGGTCGGACAAAACCTTTTCTCAAGATCTTACAAAGGAACTACTATAACCACACAATATATGTTAAATTCGTCGATCTATGGTTGGTATGACGAAGTTAAGGATTTCAATCCGTCATGGGTTTCTTCATTTGATAGCCAGTAAGTTATGGATTTTCTTAGTTTCTTAATTTCATCATATTTTCTCACCTAATAGATCTTCCTAGGATTTTAAATAAGTATTTCAAAACCAAAATTTGCCAAATCGATTCAGTTGTTCTCGATTTATTATAAAAAAAAGTTATAAAAACATAAAACGACATTTGTTAACCCGGTATCTGGCAACACCAAAAATAGATGTAAAATTATTTTATTGGGTACATAATCACAGAATAATACACAATCAGAATGCTCACTCTCAGATGCCGCCTTTGAAGTTTATCAGTACGCGAACGCCATGTTTTAGGCGGAAGCATAGGCTCGAATTGAGAAATTTGTGACAAGCTACGACAGAACTGTAATTTAAATTTTTAGAGATTAATAATCAAAACTGGAGAATGAAAAAATGGAGGAAGTGGAAAGAAAAGAGCACAAGAAAGTAAATGTGAACAAACTAAAGATAGAAAGTGTGCGAGAATATTACACGGAGGAAACTAACAAAAGACTGAGACAAATAGAGTGCCAAAAAGAAACATGGACAATGGAAGAAAGATGGAATACTTACAGTGAAGTATTAAAGACAACAGCAACTGAAGTGTGTGGAATCAAAAAATATAATAAACAGATAATAGATATAGATAAGATAAAGAAAAATACTATAGACAGAGACGATTGGTAAAAAAGATAGTCACACAAGCAAAAACAAAAACATGGAAAGAATTTGGAGAAGAACTTCAGGAAGTATTATAACCAATAATAGAAATTTTTGGACGACAATACGACACATAAGGCAAAGAAAACGAAAGGAAATAAACGAAGTAAGAGATACTTCAAACCAAATACAAATAAGCCCAGAACAAGTAGCTAGGGCATGGAAAGAATATTATGAGAAAAAATTTGATACCGAAGTGATAAAGAAAGACAATATAATCAATGGAGGCGAAGAAAAACACAGAGCTAGAGCAAATAAGTAGAGAAGAAGTAATAGAAGGATTATCAAATATAAAAATAGGCAAGGCAGGTGGAGATGATGAAATTGAACCGGAAATGGTAAAATACATGGGAAAAGAAGGAATAAACTGGCTATGGAAAATATATAAAGAGGCATGGGAAAAACAAAGAATCCCTAAAGACTGGCAGAACAATATCATCGTGCCAATATACAAAAAAGGAGAACATGTAAACTGCGACAACTATAGAGCAATATGTCTGTCATCGGTATGCTGAATATATACGAAAATATTAGAGAAGAGACTGAGACAAGAATTACAAATGGTATTGGGAGAAGAAGAAACAGCATTTAGACCGGGAAGACAGACAAATGACAACATATATATCATTAGAAACCTAATAGAAAGAAGCATAGATACGGGGGAAAACTAGTATTAGCATTCATAGACCTGAGAGCAGCATTTGACACAATAGAAAGACATATTATAGGAAAATGCTTGAGGAAAATAAATGTACCTAATGCATTGATAAAAATTATAGAAAGTACTTAAAAAGAGGTAAAAGGAAGGGTACAAATAACAGGGGAAAGATTGGAAGCATTTAATTGGAAGAGTGGTATTAAACAAGAAGATAGTCTCAGCCCTTTGCTATTCATAATAGTAATGAACGAATTGATAAGAAACACTAGAGTCAGAACCAATCAACTACAGACAATAATAGGTTACCACAGATTACAACTGGTAAGAATAGAGTCCTTAATGTATGCAGACGACATAGTACTAATAGTAGATTCCGAGAATAAAATGCAGAAACTAGCAGATATATGGGTAGAATAAATAGAAGAACTAAAAATAGAGATAAACGAGAAAAAAAGTAAGATAATGATAATCAGCGGCAAGGGAGATAAGGAAGATAATCAAATAAAGATAAAATGTAAAAACTCAGAATTGGAAACTTACTTACGAATACCTGGGAAGTATAATAACTAATGACTGAAAAATATACTGGAAAATAACAAATAGAGCAAAGAAATTAAACAAGTTATACTATGCGTTAGCTCCAATCATGGGAAAAAGAGAACTTACACGAGAAACAAGAATAAAAATATATAACATAATAGTGATACCGACTGTGCTCTATGCAAGTGAAACCTGGACAATTCTGGAAAAACATAAGAGAAGGATAAACTCAATGGAGATGAGACATCTAAGAATGATAATTGGAAAGACAAAATGTGATAGATTAAGCAAGGAGACTATTAGGAGAATGGTCAAACAGTAACCGATAATGAACGAATTAGCAAAGAGACAAACGAACTGGTATGGGCATCTGATGAGGATGCAATCCAATAGAATAACAAGAAAAGTTTATGAAGCAAAAAACATCGGAAAAAGAAAAGGAGGCAGACCAAGAAAAAAATGGATACAGCAAGTAGTGGAGGCGGGAAAACTTAAGCAAAAATCACTCAAGGAATTGAAAATAATGGCAGGAAACCGAAAAAAATGGAAGAGGTGGGTAAATGGAAATTAAAATAGCTAGCCCAAATCCGACATCCTGATAAGGTAAAAGGAATAGGAGAGGAAAGAAAGAAAGAGATTAATAATTTAGTACATTTGAAATCTATTCTTCATCTAAAAGTACGAATAAACACGCCAGATAAAATGTCACTGAACAGCACTGGTTCCGTTTAAAACATGACTGATTCCGTCTACGCGAACGAGATGCGTGTACTTAGTTTTTTAAGCAGAGTGGGCATTCTGATTGTTTATTATTCTGTGACATAATCTTGTATAACACTCAATATCACCCTGTGGTACAAACAAATCGGCGGGAGCAAGGGGAAAGCGGTTTTTGAATTCGTTGCGTAGAAGCAACAATCATATGTAAAGAACTGTTTAATTAAAATATATTTTATTGATTTAATAAAACAACTTTACCTATAAAGTGCATAAGACTAAAAAATTATAAATATAGGCTCAATTCTAACGGTGGAATGATAAAAAACAATTTTTGTTCCGTGTAAACCAAGGCGCATGTTAAATTTTTCACACTGCACAATTGTATAGCCAGTTTTACAAAATCTACATCGTTCTTTAGCAATATAAAGTGGCCAGTGACCTAACGCATATATTCTGGTAGCATCATCAGGTCTTACAGCAAAAGGATGGCCAATTAGGTTATCTGTATTTTTAGGTACTTAATGGACGCCCTCGCTTTACTTTGATCCTTCTAGTGTTTGACCTAGCTAGTATCATTCTAAACTTCTTGAGGAGCATAAAATTTAGATGATTGGCTTTACTGTTATTTTGATATAATATCCTCTTTTTTCTTCGTCCTACTTTATAAATAGGCTTAATGCCTGTTTTACTTCGGTTTTTAGCCTCAATTGACGTTGTCTGAATGATCTTCTTTCATTTGGCGATTTGTCTCTTGCTATTCGTACTATTCTATTTTCTGTCATTCTTTCGTTGTGTTTGATTCCATTCCACTTTTCTTCTTTTGGTCTACGCATTTATTTCCTCTATTCCACATCTCGCTCGTATTTCCTCACTTCTTACTCTGTCTCTTAGAGTTTGGTTTGTTGTTTTTCGTAAGACTTTCATTTCTGTTGTTTCCAGCAGTATTTGTGTTTTCTCCGTATCTGCTCTTGTTTCCGCTGTGTACGTCATTATCGGTCTTATTGTTGATTTATATATCCTGGTTTTCGTTTCAGTTGTGAGGTATTTGTTTTTCCAGCTTGTGTTGTTGAGACATCCTGTTGCTCTGTTTGCCATGTTCCTGTCTGTACCTAGCACTCGCTTGTTTTTGTACTTCTTCCACTTTTCCGTAGCTTGACAGCTTTATTCCCAAGTATTCAATTTCCATCACTTGTTCTATTATTTTGTTATTTACGACTAGTTTACATTGTCTTGGATCCACTGATATCAGTATCGCTTTTTAATTAATCTTTGTAGGTGATCTTCATTTTCGGCTGTTATTATGGCGTCGTCGGCATAGCATATTATCCTTATTTCCTTTTCTCCCATTATATATCCTCTTATTTTTTTAACTTTCCTTATGACTTTATCCATTATCAGATTAAATATTAATGGGCTCAGCGAATTTCCTTGTCTAATGCCAGTTTCATATTTGATAGGTTGCAATAGTTTTTCTTTACATCTTACCATAGCTATGTTATCTTTATATATATATATATATTTTCAATGGTTTTTACTAAATCCAGTGATATTCCCTTTTCATGTTATAAATGTATGGCGTCCCGAATTCTCACTCTATCAAACGCTTTCTTCAAATCTATCAGACACATATATGCTGGTTTGTTGTATTCCAGCGACTTTTCTTTTATTTGTCTTAGTCCAAAAATTGCATCCGTGCATGATCTTCCTGTCCGAAATCCTTACTGTTCCTCTTGCAGAGATATTCGTTCATTTATTTTTGTCGCTATTATTCTTGTTGTCAATTTGAGTGTTGTATTTTTATTATCCATGCATCCTACAATACCTACTATTATAATATCCATACATTTAAAATACAGATATCTAAGAGCCATCTGACTATTGAAAAATAGCATCTTTTACTACGACTTGGACTTCTGTAAAGATCCAATAAAGAGTTTGCTTTATCCACTCCACTCATGTGTTTATTGTATTGACTGATTAGATTTGGGTTTGGAACATTTACTTTTCTTTGTGTTAGACAAATCGGAGAAATTAGGGTGGACAGGAATGATTCACATTTTTTACCTTTCTTCCATAAATGGAGATAGTTGACATTTCATTTAAATTTTCCATAGTGACGTGTTATACTGAAAGAAAACTTAATTATTCAACTGACAATGTTGCCTGAGAACTACATGATTTTTATTTAAAAAAATAATATGATTACTTACCGTATACAGCAAAAATAGCACATAATTACACCAGAACAACCTTTTTTATACTTATACGAAGTAAAAAAGCTAACCTCAGAATACTCATAACAAACGTTTGACAATAAAAATTATGACACACCCACTTAAATCATAACGTAGACGTCTACTGGTATCCTAGTGCTCAAATTATTATTTTTAAACATCTCTATAGACTGTTAGATGTCGCCACCAGTTTTATACAACTAACAAGACTTGCTGCTTACTGCAAGCAAGCTCATTTTACGCATGTACTAGCTAAATATAGTAGAAATTGACTTAGGTGCTTATAAATATGATGTTGCCTCAGAGCAACACAATCATATATCCGGTTTTAACTGTCATTTAATGATATTTGATAACTACATGGATCAAATAAACTACCTGTAAGGATGAAGTCGTATAAAACATTTTAAATTTACAATTAAAAAAATTAAATTCATTCATCGAGTTAAAAAATAGTTCATCTCCTAAGTTGGACCAACAAATACACTTACACAAAGTTTTATTGCAATCCATTGCAAAATGCTGCTATGTATGGTACTGTTGCGTACTGCTTACCAACACGTTGTTTATTTGCAAATGAGTCTGCGAGCAGGAAATCTTTAATTAACATTTTATTTTAGAGTTAAGTTAAAAACTACAATGGCCATTGTTTTATTTTTTAGCGGAAAAGAGATAGGCCATTATACACAAGCAGTTTGGGCTCGTACACGATATGTTGGTTGCGGACTCACTTTCTACGTAGATTCCAAGGGTTGGGATGTGTATTACCTAGCCTGTAACTACGGAGAAGGCGGTAACATTAACACATGGCCGGTGTACGAGATAGGAAATCCAGCTACAAAGTGTGATGGCTTGCCCGTTAATTCAAAATATCCTGGACTTTGTGGACCTGATAATCTTTAGAAGATTTAGTCAACTGCATATAGCTAATTGTTTTCATAAGTTAAGTTATTAAAATAAACAAAAAACCTATTTATTTTTGTGTCATTTATTTGAATAAAGTTTAAGGATTTGGCTAAAGGTAAATGAATGTAGGATACGACATCAATGGAAAATATCATATACATATAACATCTTTATATAATATAGGAAACAGAAGTTAAACCTGTGAGTCAGTTAAACATATTCTTAGGACACTCTTCTGTAAGCCAATAAAAAAATATTCTTTATTGTACAATAAATCGCAAGGAACCGACATTTCGTAGGAGACAAACCACATATTAGGTCTTAATAATCCTCCTTTTTTGTATCATCAGCTATGATATTTTTTCCTCGTCTATGGGTGAACAATTAAACCCTTGACGAATTCGTGACGAGACACAAGGACGCTAGCCGGGTATCCGAAAGACAAGGCATATCTGAATCTCAATACCGATAAACTTCACAATGCCAAAAAACGTCGTCTGTCAATCTTTGCTGAAGAATACTAAGCCACAGAAGAATAACCTGTGCCACCAAGAAATTTGTGCCATAAAATCGTTAATCGCAGACAAAGATATTGTAATTTTACCAGTAGACAAGGCAAACGCCACCGTCGTAATGAAGACAGCCGACTACAAAATCTTCTAGATCCTCCAGTATGATCCCACAGCAGTCACTCTACGGAAAATCAATAAACTTATAAAATCTTCGTCCATACCAGAGAATATAAAGCCAAGAATATGCAACAGCGAAGCAGTCCCATTACGCTTGTATGGCTTACCGAAAATACACAAAGACGATGTACCTCATATAGAAAAATCTCAACCACATATAGAAAAAAAAAACAATTACTTTGTAAAAGACTCCGCCCATTTCATCGAGAAGGTCAAAGGAATAACTTTACAGGATTCTGACATTCTTGTTAGCTTTTATGTTGTTTCCCTAGAGTTCCCCTAGAACACGTTCTGAATTTAATTGAGGGATTAGTTTCCAAGGATATGGTGGAATTATACCGTATTTGCCTCACTACCACCTACTTTTCATAGGAAGAGTGAATAGATAGATGGAGTAGCAATGGAGCTTATAGAAAACAGTGTAATGGACTCAGCATACAAGCCAAGGGTATGGTTTAGATATGTCGATGACACTTTTGTGATTTGGGGTCACGGAGTAGAAAAACTTAACGATTTCCTGTCTTATATACACACTATACCCAAATATTCAATTTACGATGGAAATAGAAAAAGATCAACAACTAGCGTTCCTAGATGTGTTAGTAAATCGAAAGGAAGGTTACTTAGGACATAAAGTGTATAGAAAACCTATACATACGGACAGATACCTAAACAAGAACTCAAATCATCATCCAGGCCAAAAACAAGGTATCATCAAAACTCTGGCGGAGAGGGCGAAGAGAATTTGTGAACCACAGCATCTGCAAAGACTTCTTCAGATTGAAAAAGCGCTCACCTCTAATAGTTATACCAGAAGAGAAATACATAAAGCGATGAACAACGTCGATAGAAGCATTTAATACGATAGAAAGAGCGGCAGAAAACAGTGGCCTAAACATTAACGAAATAAAAACCAAATACATGAAGGCCAGCAAATCGACAGGCCAAAGAAACCTACAGAATCTAATACTAGACTATAACATCGAAAGCGTGAAATGTTTAACATATCTAGGTTCACTAGTTATCGCAGATAACAATATCAGTGAAGAAGTTAAGGGAAGAATACATATCGCTAATAAAATATATTATGGACTAATTAAACATCTAAGATCTAACAACATCACAAGAAAAACCAAATGCAAAATAAACAAGACCCTGATAAAACTGGTCCTTGTATATGGATCAAGACGTGGACACTGCCGAAAAGCGATGAGAACCTATTAGGTACATTTGAACGAAAAATCCTTAGACACATATATAACGGGGTAAAGAAAAAAGACGCAGAAGATATAACTTTGAACTATACACAACATACAATAAACCCGAGATCATAACATCCATAAAGATCGGAGGTCTGCGCTGGATGGGCCAGGTTGAACGGATGTTGGAGACTGAAACGCCAAAACATATATTGAGGCAAACACCAGTAGGGAGAAGGTAACAGAGAAGACCCAAACTTAGATACATGGAACAAGATCTGAAAACACTTACTTAAGATTACCAACTGGAAAAACAAAGCAAAGAACAGAACATAATGGCGGAAAATCCTAGAACAAGCCAGGACCCAAAAAGGGTTGTCGAGCTACTGATGATGATGATGAACAACGTCTCTAAAAGAAAGGACGAAGAAACAGAATGTATAACCAAAGCGTTCTTGCACTATATATCGGGGGTAACGGACAGAATTGGGCGAATACTTAAAAAAGCCAATGTAAAGACCATTTTCAAACACACAAAAAAAAGCAAGGACTGTTTAAGATCGGTGAAGGACAAACGCGACCCATTAGTAACGGACGGAGTATACCGAATACCATGTACACGTGGAATGGTATATGTGGGAACTACGAAAAGACACACAAACACAAGGATAAACGAACATAAAAGCCATTGTCGTTTAGGAAAAATCTGCTGTTGCCGAACAGGCTTTGAGAAGCGGAGAACATCGGATACTGTTTGAAGAAACGCAGATGCCAGATAAAACATCACAGTACTTCCCACGGTTGTAAATAGTGGGAAATAATTTTAATCGGATAGAAGAAGGACTAAAAATCTACTAAACATGGAAACCAATATTAAAATCAAACAAACACCTTTCCCGCAAAATATGAAGAAAGAAAAGCTACTACAAACGATGACACGCCCCCTCACGCCGAAACCATTATATTTAGCTAAAGTCTTTGAGAGAATCCTAAAAGAAAGACTCATTGACTTCATTAACGAACACAATATCATCCCCTCATTTCAATTCGGCTTTAGAGAAGGGTGCTCTACAAATACGGCATTGACAGAAATTGTCACACACATTTCTCAAAGTCTGAACGACGGCAAATTATCCCTAGGTATTTTTCTCGATGTTCAAAAAGCCTTTGATCAAGTTTGGCATGTGGGACTGATCAAGAAACTACTGAACATCGGACTACCACTTCCATTCGTCAGACTAATCCAATCATACGTCTCTGAGCGTCAAATCAGGGTCAAAGAGCGTGGTTATTTCTCAGATTCTTTTACTCCTACAGCTGGAGTACCACAGGGCTCAGTGCTGGCTCCCATACTATACACAATTTACAACAGTGACTTCCCTAATTCCTTACGTAACAATACCACCACCCTACTCTACGCGGATGACACCGCTCTAGTAACTACAGCAAGAGATGTTGATTCTGTTCTCAGGTACGCTCAAAATCACCTTAGACTAGTTGAAAACTGGTGCGGGAGATAGAGAGTGTCCCTGAATCCGAACAAAACTCAAATGATTCTCTTTAGACACCCTAAACACAGTAAACGTGCGGCCTCCTTTAACGAAAGAAACTATCTCACGCTTTGGGGGGACCAACTCCAACTCCGTGATCAGATTGAATACCTCGGCGTGGCGTTCACACGAACTCTGAGCTGGAGGGCCGATCTGAACATAGCCTGTGCTAAGGCCAGGAGCAGACTGGGTCTCCTCAATAGCTTGAGATGTAATTTCGGGGCTGCACACCCTAAAACTTTAATTTTCACTTATAAAGCTTTTATTAGACCTATTTTTGAATACAGATCCAATATTTATGCTACAATGTCAAAATCTGTCAAAGAAATTTACTTAGACTAGAGAGGAAGATTCTGCGTAGGTAGAGTGAATGGCAAACGTTGCGACTACCCTTCAGCCCTCATTCATCAATTATCTAATATCCAGCCCATTAATGAGAGACTACACTCTCTGAGCAGAAGTTACACTACACGCACAATCCGGGGCCAAAACTTCAGAGCTCAACGCATTCTAAAAACTGTCTGCTCTTCCCGCGGCAATGTATTCACCAGACATCCTAAACCTAAAATCCCACACCTTCCCGCCATTCTACTGGAACTCGCGAGTAACGAACTCCCTGATGAATACATTGACATACAGGAGGAAACTCCCCTCTATTTTCGTCGCATTCCTAGCTAAATTGCTCACTTCGAGCTTGCCTAGACAGGGGGGATCGGTTTTCTGCGGTTTCCCGATCCCACTTGCCAATGATACCTGTCTATTGTGAGGATACAGCCGCAGCTGCCCTCTCGCGCCGCGTTAACATACTTACTAATTACAAAATATTAATGCATGTATTTATACATATATTAATATCTCATTTTCTACATTTATCAATTAACAAACATTAATACACTAATTATTTTAGAAAACAATTCTGAAAAGAACCGACCTCAGCCTTTCACCACCGATTGTCCTGGCTCAGCCCCACCAGTGGATCAACGAAGAAAGAAGAACCAGAAGCCAACCACCAAAGAAACAAAAACCACATCCTGAAGAGGCAAAAGCCTAAAACAGGATGACAAAACTACAACAAAAAGAAACATATCAAACCAAAAAGAAAACCAACGCAACAGTGAAGATAACGCGGCGTCAGTTTCAGCTTACAAGCGACGCAGTAACATATCCAGAAGATGCCAACCCCTAGTGTTGGTGAAACGTCGAGAACTAATCTCAGAAGACAACGGTCTAATAGCCCGAAAAAAAAAAAACAGCCTAACAAGTTAATACTATGACATTCACTGGTTAGTGAGCGAAGGTCACACGGGTTCCGCCTTACCAAGTAAATAAAACAAATGGTATCTGATAATAGAAATTTTATTTTAAAAAATAAATAAGTAAATTACAATTCGGAGATTTCACGTTATAGAGAGTATTTGCATTATCGGTTTAAGATCTTTATATGTAGGATCACTTAACATTTACATCGCTTATAAAAAATTAAGTATAGACCCATGAAACACATTTTTGAACAATATTCGTAATCCGGGTTTCCATCAAATTAAAACATAATTATAACGAAGATCAAGGTTTTCTGTTATAACACAGCCACCTTTACTTCCAAGCCATGAAGTAGAAATTTGGCAACAACGCGTGGTAGTCCGACTGTGGTTTGTTTTGGTTTAACATAATGGATTGTAAAGTTTGTTGAATTTATTGTTTTTTAACTTTATTCGAATGTTTTATTTGTAAATTGTGTTTAAATCAATTAGAAAATATTAATATAAGTGAAATTTCATTAAATTTAGAACTTCTAGAATATTCTTAACGACAGCAAGTATGAATATAACCTACAAAACAAACTGAAAATAATAATACTTTTGTTTCTTGTTACAAAATATGTAAACTAAAAACAACAATAATAATACTTTTGTTTTTTGTTACAGATGCTCTGGCATTGTTGTGTACCTGGTTGCAAAACCAATCTCTATTCATAGAGAAGGCTGTACAATTACCAAATCTTCCATAGTATGTGCCAAACTTTTTCATGAAGATGGTATTCAGCGAACTGAACAATGAGAAGATAAAGATGGAAATGTACACATTGAAAAGTTAATATTTCCCAAATTAAAAGGCAATGCAGTTCCTAATATATTTCCTGAAGTACCATCAATCATCATATGTAACTGTTCATCGTACTAAAGAAAGAAGGAATCCCGAAGACAGAAGAAACTTTGTGCATAAGAAGAGGGAACAAGAGATAACATAATTATGTCAATTAGACTTAGACAATAATATCCCATTGAAAAACTGGACAAGTAAAATTACAAGTGATTGTGTATATTTCTATGTATTAAACATTAATCAGTTGGAACACAAGTGTGATAATATTTGTGTAATATGTAGTGTAATAGTTAGCAGTAATTTTAGTGTAATCCTGTAATTGTCAATGTAGGTAAGAATAGATTAAGTGGTAATGATTTGAAATGGATTTTACAATATAGTAAATTAACAAGATGGTCACAATTAGAGAACTTACTTACTCAATTAGATTGGCTTTTTAGATAAGTGATAACAAATTTGAGTATTACATTCAAAAATCTTTTGAGAATATAGGCTATTTTAAATCGATATACAAGTTATAAATGGTATGTTACATTCAACACATTTTTCATGTATACCTCTTTTAACTTGGTCTATATGACAACAAACCTATTAATATTTAAAATTGCTACTTTTGTATATCTAAGTATGAAACAACAAACAACAAAAGTTATAAGTAAATAGTAAAATATTTAATTTTCAATTAGATTAATTTAGAACCATATTTATATTGTGTCTGATTTCTTAGGATGAATTTTTTAATCATAATAGTTACACTAAGTTTTTACTTATCACAAATCTTTTGTATTTTTAATAATCTTTTTAAATGTCCTGTTAATGTTTTTGTGTTATTTATATGCTTTAGTACTTAAAATATTTAAAATTTCTAGTGATTCTTGACTGCATTTGATTGTAAGATTAACTGTTTGACACTGTATTTTAAGTGCAATAAATTTTACTCTAGTGATTATTTTATTGATAATATAACCTAAATAATAATAAAACTTTATATATATTTACTAGGTATATATAAGGTTTTATTAATTTAATTTCCCTAAAAATATTTCTGTAATTATCAGTTTCCTAAAATTCAAATTAGTTTAATATTCTGGTAGACCTTACCCGATTATCGGACTACCGACGTCATAGAATGCGGTGTTGCCTTTTTTACTTCATGGCTTGGAAGTAAAGGTGGCTGTGGTTATAATCATCGACCACAAAGACAAAAGATTGAATGTAAAGGTAGTGGGGGCAAAAATATTGTTAGAGAGGAAGTGCCATCTTGAGAGGCCACATTAAACAAGGAGAGTCACTTTCCTTGTTTAAAAAATCAAATTTAGTTGGGTTACGATATTCTGATGTTATTGTTTGTCCCAACTGGCACATGAAAGATTATTTGTATTTTCTATTGAAGTTTTTTAACAATTGTTTCACATTAAAAAAAAGTATTTTAAGTGTATTATTATCAATGTAATATAAAATAAATAAATAGATATATTAGAACCCCTACACTACTGTTTGATTTTGATTATTGTGAAGTGTCATGAAATTTAAATTTTGCGCATTCGCATTTCCGGATATGTCCGCCATCAGAGGCCACTTTTTTGGTCTCCTTTTCATAACGATTAGATTCCCTCTTTTGTCTTTTTGCTCGACGGTTATAATACATCAATGAAAATAATAACGCAGCTGCCACATTTTCTGGAACTGTCCTGAATTACAGAAAAACCAAAAATTCCGTTACCACTTTTTAAAATTTGATGGAAACATTCCTACCTACATAATACTAACAAGTTACCAAAAACTTAGAAAGGATAGGTATGTTTCCTATAACGTCCCTATTTTCATTATCGCTGTCATCGTCAGTGGCTGAATAGTTTAGATCGGCACTGTCTAAACTATTATCCCAATCGTCGGAACTAGAATCCGAATCGTAACCGAACATATCCAATATTTCGTCTTCGGTTCCTGATAGTATCACGTTGGTGAATATCTGTAAGAGAAATTATACCATTATGAAAAAAAAAAAACACGAAATGTTCACACAACAACAAATTTGTCCAATTTGGCAACTATGTTAGCACCGACATGTTAAATTCTTCATCTAAACTAGAATGTTGTTATAAAACCTTTTTCCTCAAAGTTTTGTAAAGTTTTAACAATGGCATCACCGTTTGTTTCAAAAACCTTGTTCACCGAGTCATTTTTTAAAGTTTGGAAATAAGAAATACTACATCTGTCAAGTACGATGGATGATTGATTATGTAGTGGTCTAATTGGTGTAATTTTGCTTGGGCAACGGTCAGTTGGTGAGAGACAGAATTTTCTTCTTAAAGGAAAGCATTGTATGCGAGACAAACAAGGGTCTTCTTTACTCAAAACGCCATTGAAAACATCCAATGGACCTCCCTGTTATATATCTGCTTTTGCTGGACATTATTCTAGTAGTTCTGGCATTCTTTGGTAAGCCTTTAACACTCTTTCTCCACTGCTTTGGCTCTTCCTTGGTCTACAACCTCCAAGAGCCGAGAAACTTTATCATGGTGGAGGATCTCTAATGCTCGGTAATGACACAGACAGCCCGATTTCATTAGTCTTTTCTTAGCCTTAAAAGCTCTGTTGAAAGTGATTATCAATTACCTAGCTTCATGCGGATCAATAATGGAACAAGAAAAACAAAATAAACAATAAAGGTATTCGGAAATCATTGAAAATATCTAATGGTATATATATATATATATATATATATATTATATATATATATATATATATATATATATATATATATATAGTGAAAAGGAGATAATACTGGGATGTACCCTTTTATAACTGAGGAAGCAAAATAAAACTAGGGTGCTTCGTTCGATGTGCTTTTAATTAAAGGTCTAAGCTTTCGTCAATGATTATTGACATCATCAGAGTAAACTACAAACAAACGAGAGAACAAACAATGAACAAGTGGAACCTAAGTATACAAATTTATAAAACACTTACCCTAATTCTAGCAAGTAACTCTAGCAAGTGACTTGGGTTGAACACAAAGAGAGTATTGTCTATGTATATATTAAACATAGTTGCAGAAATGGTATCCGTAGTATAAAATGTGTTTTTTTAATTTAATTATAAACGATATATTTACTATAAATCTAACCACAAACAATTTAAAATTATACTAGTTTAAAAACAATCTAAAAGTAATTAACAATTATCGGCGGTGTCACTAAACTTGTTTGAACTAGCGGATAATTTAAAATGTAAACATGACATATATTATAATCTAAAATGTTAACAACGAATACTGAAATAAATATAAAATATAAAAAATAAAATAATTAAAATTGTCATTAAACGGATTGATTGAAAATATAATAAAATAATACAGATGAGGAATGTTTTTATAATAATGATGGAGATATAGTATTTTTTTATATTATATATTTTTAAATTAAAATAGTTAAAAATCTAACCTATATCACTCATATATCTAGGCGACAATTTTTTTATTCCTGAAATATTTTGTTTTAGCAGGAAGGTGTAGATTGAACTTAAATTATCCACATCCTTCTTGTGATTGATGGCATTTTTCGCATTATAAATGTAACACATCTCAAGTATTTTACGCTGAAAATCTCTATTAGATATATCTAAGATGAATGTGTCATTATAGAGGGCTCTATGGTCTTTGCTGTTGACGTGAATACTAAGACTTGTAGATTGTGGTTTGAGTCTGCAATCACTTTTGTGAAGGGCCAATCTTTTACTTAACCTTTGGCCAGTCTGACCAATATAAACTAGGCCACATTCACATGGGATGCCATATATTACGTTGGAACGTTGTAAGGTGGGAGTAGGATCTTTTAATCGGGTGTAAAACAAGTTAAGTGTTTTTTGGTTGTAGGTAGATATTTTTATATTAAATTCACTAAATAAACTAATGAGTGATCTAGATAGATTTTGTATAAAACGTAGTTTACCATATCTCGTATAAGTATCAACTAGAGTAACATTCTGATTTGCATCTTTGTTTACAATAGGATTAGAGAATAACAATTTGTTAAGCAGTTTTTTTGGATATTGATTAGATAACAATATATCATATAAAATTTTAATGTTTTTGTTAACAAATTTAGGATGGCAAATCTTAGTGATTCTATTTTTCATTGCTAGAACAACATTAATTTTCTGTTTTTCGGGATGATAGGAATTGTATGGAATAAATCTCCCGGAATTACTGTTTTTACGATACCAATCAAGGCAAATCAAATTACTTTCAGTTCTAACAAATAATAAAGTATCTAAGAAAGGGACAGATGAGTTAGACTGATGGAAATCATGGATGAAATCATGGAACTGACTTCTGAATATGAAAAGAACTACTGAACAACAGCTAGAAAACAGCCATGAAGCTCAGAAAATATGGAAAATGGTCTACCAGGCACTGGTAGGTCTAAGGTGTAGTGAGTGAAGAGGCTGATACCAAATAATGCAGACAAATTTATGAGACAAATGACCTTAAAGAAACCTTTATATTGTGTTGTATTATTGCCAAAAGATTTTCCTAATCCAACACTGGCGTGACAACAAACTTAATAGACTACAGATGTTAAAACCAAATGTTTTGGTTCTTTGATACCATATCAAAGATCTTCTTGCTTTGATCAGCAAATAAAGTGACAGACACACATTAAAAAAACAAATTAGAACTAAAATCTAAAGAATATTACCTTATAATCTTCCAATCCTACAGGGTTATTCTGAAAGTTAAATCTGGTGTTTGGCATAGCAGATATGGTTCTAACTGGAAGAACAAAGAATTCATTACTCTGCAGATGCAAATACTTAAGGTTCTTCAACTTGGCAAATCTATACGGAATGTAACTAAAATTGTTCTTGTTAAAGTTAATGTGTTTGATTAATTCTAGCTTGCCAAAGTTATGGGGAACATTATTCAGGCAGTTATCTTCCATCGTTAACCATCTGAAAATAAATGAAATAGTTTGAACATCATTATTATAGAAACCACTAATCACAAAATAGGAAGTGGAAAATGACTTAGGGCCAACAAAAGCTAGGAAATCCATCAACCAAGGTGAAAAGGAGCAGAAGTTATAAAACTTTTTCAAATGAGTTAAGTATCAGCATTGACTGATCTCTAAAACACTATTAGAATACTGCAATTGTAATAAAGTGGCTGGAGTCCATATTTATTCCTCTAACAAAATAAGTGAATGCTAGTGACTATATTGTAGAACAAACTGGCTAATTAGTCACATATCATGTACTGAATGTATTTCTGATAGAAGAGTATCACCAGTAAGGATTCAGAATGAGATTTTTTACAAGGGAGGCATCACTCAATCTTGGCATTCTAATGTATATAAAATTTTAGACATAAATGAATATATTTTTCTGTTTACTAGATTTTAAAAAGGCATTTGACAATATTAATACTGAGATGAATCTATGACTGAGATTTCTGCCAAATATGGCATAATTTCATTAGTTTTAAAGGAAAAAATTCTTAAAATGTTTCTAATACATGAAAATAAAACAGTCTCAACATACAATGGTCTAAACTTCACACATAAAATAAATGGGTACATGACCAATTAAATAAATATTAGATGAAAATCATTGCCATTAGATGACATTAAAATATGCCTCTATAAACTTCCGTAAAATTAAAGGATATTCCTGATAAAACATGGTTTTAAAACTTTTCATATAAAGATAGGAGACACATTACAACTGTTATAAGAATGCGAATCGGCCATTGTTTAACAAGCCAACATCTTTTCAAACTAAATTTGGTGGACAACCCTTACTGTGAATGTGGCCTAATAGAGAACCTAAATTATATATTTTTTGAATGTCCCATAAGGATCATTCCAAGTTTTGACCTATACACAAAATTCATTTATATGAATTATAATTCACCAATTACTATATATTCTATATTAAATAAACTTACTGAAAAATCAGTCAGCATTTTGATAAAATTCCTTTCAATTAATAAATTAAATTTGTAATCAACAATGCTCAATACTTTTTGAAGTGTTTACTAATTATTTTTTTCTACAAAATTATTTGGCACAAGTAAGTGGCCTCGAGTTGGTTTAGAGCCAGACTTTATTGGGGTCACCACCAAATTGAGCTGGCGTATCACCATGACGTGGAAGCCATAGAAACAAAAGAAGAAAGAAGTAAAGGATATTGGAAAAACAGAAACATAGTAAGGCCATGGATGATTAAAAACAAAAATCTGTAATGGAGCAAATACAAGACAAAGTTTTCAATGGGAACAGTAATATATTTCTGGGGAGAAGATGTAGTGATATCAATTTATGGTAAATATAATAGTACAAAAACCACTAATTTATTTAAAATGACCATGAAATACAGAAACAATTAAGTGTATATAAGGATTTAGTGTGTATAATAAACACTTACCTTAAGTTTATAAGTTCTCCAATCCTAATAGGTAATTTGGCAATTTTGTTATGTCTAGCACCGAAAGTTTCCAACTTTGTTAGATTGCCTATTTCCTCGGGAATGCTAGTTAAACAGCACGAATTACACCAAAGCATTTCCAAAGACACTAAACATCCTATATCACAGGTGAGCTCCTTAATGGGATTATGACTTAGATTTAAACTGATAAGTTGCGGACAATGCTTCAATGCCTCGGGAAACCTATCTAATTGATTATATTCTAAGGATAAATGTTGAAGATTTTTTAACTGAGAAATCTCCATGGGGATCTCGACGATCCTGTTGTGGCCTATGTTAAGGATGTGGAGACCTTGGCAGGTTATTAGCACCTCTGGAAACTGAGTTAAATCGAAATCGTCTAAAGCTAAATTTCGTGCACTGGACTTTTGGGCCTTCTCTATTAAAGCCAATACGCGGTTTTTCTGGATAAAGTCGTACACGGGATTCATCTCGGATGTGTTGATATCAAATACTGTTTATTTTCTTTTTTTAGCTAACGTCACTGTCAGATGTCAGTTCAGATTACACCGTTGCCTTAAATATCGCGCTTATTGTGTTTAATTCAAACAATAGAAAAAATAAATAATTTTAAACTTTAATTTAAAGGAAAATTAACGCTATTACAGATTTTTCCTGTATTTCTTTTAAACCTTAGTGAAAGAAAGAGATTTACTTTATACACACAACAACATACGAATATACGTACCTACGTGGTTCGAGGTTCTGTAGCAAAAATAATATAATTTTTAATTATATTTTATCAATACAAGAAAAAAATATTAAACGCTACCTTCTACCTAGTCTTTTAATCATCAACGAACAACAATGAATGCATAGTTTTGTAATTGTCTAATAATTTGACTTGGCATTTGTTAGTGACGAGGTTGTACTATATTTTTTCAAGTACACAATAGTTCTATAATATTCTTATACGTAAATAGGTAAACACCTTATTTAAATTATTATTTTTGGGATGTTTGATTCCGTCCAATTTGCAAATAATTTTTGTTACGCTGGCAACAAGGCAAACTGAGTCTGTTAATAATATTATAAGATGTACAGCCACTCTTTAAATTTAAATTTTAAAATATGAAATACATATTTATATAAAATGAAATAAATTTATTGTAAATTAAAATCTTCATTGATTATTTATATGTAAAGCTTCGTCGTAAATGAAAACAAACAAATATATTAATGATACTTATTTAATTATCAAATACTTATTTATTTTTCCTCATATTCTGGTAAGAAACATATTCTAATTGTAATTTTTCCTTCGGGAATTATTAATAGCTATTGAAATTATCATTCTGCTTTTATTCTTCGACACGAGTTCAATCAAGCGCAGGACTCTGCATATATTATAGTGACACCATAGGTCCAAAAATAAAAAATCAATAAATGACTCCGCAAGCGGCGTTCTTTTGCACATGAGTATAACTACATGTTTGTGTTACAACTCACAACATATGTTTATTCCGAAGCAGCTCTAATAATAGGGAAAATGTTAAACAATTAATGAAGTATTAGTGGGGCTTTATTTAAAAATAGTGACTGTGATATATAAAAAGCCTAGAATTCATCGCTTTTTCGTAAGGTAAGAATTTTGTACCACTGTTAAGGTAAATTAAGAAAATATAGCAATAACGATATGATTAATTATGAGATAGATATGAAAATAATAACATTATGAATATTTGGGATGAGTATTTATTTTGATTTATCTTATCTAAGGCCCATAAGTTGATTGTGTTAATACTATATTGCGACAATATTATCTCTAATAATATCAACAGGTTATAGACGATAATGGTATATTTATTGTATTATATGATTTAAGTATTAACTCTACGTGGGAAAAAGAAATAGTGAACAAAAATTACAATGTTTGTTTTTTAGGTATGTAAAGATTAAACAATTATTATATTTTACTCAACGCCAGGACTAACTAATAAAATGTTTCTTTAACAATTTTTTTTGTAGAACAATTTGTCTTCCTCTTTATATTCTGCCTCCTATATATGGCCTTAAAACTGTTCTTCTCTGATCGTCATTACAGTGGCATTACAGGTCGTTATGAGCCAAAGCCTTCTTCAGAACAATCTTCCATTCGCCTCTGTCTCTGGCGACTCTTCTCCATGCTTTAACTCCGATGGATTTTAGATCATCCTCTATGTTATCTTGATATCTAAGTTTTGGTCTTCCTTTGGTTCGTCTTCCTACTGGTCCTCTTCGCTCGAAAATTTTTCTGTTGTAGCGCCTACGCCGCAAACCCTGTTCTTGGTCTCCTCCATATATTTTCCTTAGAATTTTTCTCTCGAAACGTTTAAGCAATTTTGTGTCGTTCTGTGTAAGAGACCACGTTTCTGACCCTTATGTTTCTTCTTCTTATTCGCGTGCCATATCAGAACTATCCGACGTTGGCAATCACCATTGCGAAAGCTTCTCGATCTTCTGCAATATGGAATAATTGTCCTGCATTTGGTATCTGAGTCCATTCACGAATGTTTTTTAACCAAGAAACTTGTTTTCTTCCTACACCTCTACGGCCCTCTATTTTGCCTTTAACGATCAGTTGTAAAATTTTATACCGACTTCCCCTTACTATATGTCCCAGATAAGACATTTTTCGATGTTTAAGAGTCTTTAATGTTGACGCTCCTTAGTACTTCTTCATTAGTTTTTCTTGCCGTTCAAGGTATCTTTAGCATTTGTCTATGAACTCACATTTCCAATGCTTTCATTTTGTTCATGACCGGTACTTTTAGCTTCCACACTTCTGCACTATACAAAAAATGAATGACAAAGAAATGACTTCATTTTCATAAAAGTAGTTTTAGTCATTGCTATTCTACGTTTTATTTCTATATCTGGATCTAGTTATTTCGTTATCACAGTTCCCAAATATGTCATTTTGTGAACTTTCTTAACTTGGACTCCGTTCAATTGAAGCTTTGCATCGGGATGTGGGTCACGACTAAATACTAACAATTTGGTTTTGTTTGAGTTTATTTTAATGCCCATTTCCTCTCCTACCTCGTGAATACGATCAAGCAGAATTTGAAGACCTTCAATATTATCTGATAGAATTACTGTATCGTCTGCATATCTAATCACATTAAGTAATTCCCCGTTGATTTTTTATTCCATATGGTTGTCTCTCAAGTGCCTTTTTAAATAGCTGTTCCGAGTAAACATTGAAGAATGTTGGCGACAAAATGCAACCTTGTCTGACTACTCGTTGTATGGGGATTTTATCGGTGTAGTTATCTCCAATTTTTACGATAGCTGTTTGATTCCAGTACAAATTTTTAATGACACAAATATCCTTGTCATCTATTCCGATATTTTTCAGTATTTGCATTAATTTTACATGCTGTACTTTATCGAATGCCTTTTCGAATTCCACGAAACATGCAAATACATATTTTCTTTGGTCACGGCATTTTTTAATAGGATGTTTTAGCGCAAAAAGTGCCTCCCTGCTTCCCATAGCATTTCTAAAACCAAATTGGGTATCTTCAAGATCTTCTTCGCATTTGCGTCTAATTCTGTTGTGAAGTATTCTGAGTAAAATTTTAAGAGTGTTGCTCATTAGGCTAATTAAACGATATTCTGAGCATTTTGAAGCATATTGAATTAAAAAGTCTTACTACTACTTTTATGTTATCATTCTCTATTAGTTTCAGCAACTCAGTTGGTGTATCATCTGGACCACAAGCTTTTCTAATTTTAGCATTATTTATAGCATGTTCTACTTTGCGTTTCATAATTTTTAGGCCGTCAGTACAGTTTTGGTAGAATTCGACAATATTATTCCTGTCATTTTCAAACAACTCTGATATATACAGCTGCCATTCTTTTCTTATTTCTTTCTCATTTACAATAATATTGTTATTAGTGTCAACAAGTACAAAAGGAACTCGTTTTTTAAATATATTACTCCTTTCTTTCAATTTTTTTTGTGCACATTAAATAAGTCGTGTTTAGATATTACATCCTCCATTTCTTCGCACCTTTCTCTCATTAATTTTTCTTTGGCTAATTTGATCTCCTTTTTTATTCTTCTCTGCAGGTGTCTATATTCTGTTACATTAGATTTTATCAGTCGACGTTGTTCCATTAATTTCAAGATGTCGTCTGTCAACCAGTTATTTTTCTTGATTAAGTTTTTTCTATAATCATTGTTTGTGGATATTTCGTTAACTTGGTTTTTAAATTCACTCCATAGTTCTTCTGGATCTTCTTGTTCCCCGATGTTTTTTTATTCTATTGTTAAATTCTTTTTTAATGTTATGTTTTATGTTTATACCGTCAAAATTAAGTACATCGGTTTTTGGTTTTTGTCGCTGAATTCGTTTTAACCTTAGTTTAATATCCAATATCTGCCCCAGGATATGTAGTGATTTTTTTGACGGCATTTCGGAAACGCTCATTTACAAGTATATAGTAATTCTTGAAGACTCAGGATTATTGCGATCATCAAATGGGGCTTTCCAAGTGTATACTCGTCGCTTGGGTAGTTTATACCAGGTATTTGCAATGATCATATCGTTTTCTTTACAGAATTCATACAATCTTTGTCCTCGATCGTTAGGTTGTCCTAAACCATAAGGACCTACAGTCTGACTTCGTCGACCTTCTCCAATTTTTGCATTGAAGTCGCCTATAATAGTTATATAAAATTGTGTGTTTTTAAGTTTCTGTAAGATGTCTTGGATCTGATCATACAACTTCTCGACTTCATCGTCATATTTTCTATTTGCAGTTGGGGCATAGATTTGAAGTATGTTAGTTTTAAATGGTTGAGTATTTATTTGGAGTAATATTATTCTATCCGAGACTGGTACGAAATTGGTCACATATTTACTCAGTTCTGATGTTACTAATATACCTACACCCTTATGTTAGCACTGGCCTTATTGGTGTTTTATATATGGTAACTATAATTTTTGTTGGTCAGATAGCTTAGCGGGCTGTGCGACTGCCTCTCATTCGCTTCACTGTCGAATGGTTCAGTGGATGTGGGTCGAGCCCCAGCTCGGTGTACTGAAAACAAAAAGTCTAACGCAGCAGTTTAAAAATTCTAGATGAATCTGCGGCTTAGACTAGGATATGCTGGGATCTGATCGGCCTATGGTGGAGCAGTACGGCAAGAGATAAGGGCGTGCGGCTTGGTGATACTCCTCCATAGATCCCTACCGGACGGGCGTAACGCCTAAAAAAAAACCGGATATATATAACTATAATTTTTCTGGGTAGTTTTTGTTTTAATAAATATTACGATCCAAAGGGGGGTGTGGTAAACATGATGACAGATGCTTGTGGAGATGTAGGTGGATTGCTAAAAAGCTGGGGTTCAGAAGGTACAACGTGTGTGCACGAGATGTCATGATGAAGGGCACAAGAAGAATTTTGGTAAAAAAAGCCAAACAAGTCGAAAGAG